TTACAAATATAGAAAATTTTTAAGTAGATAGATAAAAATAATGGAATTAAAAAATTGTTATAATGATCCAAAAAATCGAATTTAAAACTGTAACTTATTTTTATATTAATAACATTATCTTCACTGATTTCTTATTACAGCATTTTTAACAAATTTTATGTAACAATATTATTCTTTTATTTTAAATAGCTCTCCCGATACCATACTTTTTTAAATATACTTATGCAATTATAATGAAACATCTTAAATTACATAAATTGTTCGAATAAAAGAGTATCACTAACGAAATTTAGCAAGGAAGGAATAAAAAGACGAGGTACATTTTATTTAAAAATGCAAACTATTTATTTTGATCTTCCACAAAATGGCAAACAGAACATATTGTTTAAAAGAATTTTAAACGTTATGGAGAACATTTGGATTGCACCATTGATTAATTTGCTCCCGAAGGTACAAGAGTGATTAAGATGATAACATAGATGAGGATCACACAGAAGAATGACAACCACTCAACGATAGCGGCGAAATGTCTCCAGGACGATTCTTTCATCCTCATTCCGGACTTTGGAAGATCCGAGCTGTCTTCAGCCACTATACCTCCACCTGCTATCTTAGATTCCTCATCGTTCAAGACCAAAAATCGACCAGCCCTGTTGCTCAAGATGAACGTCGTCGTAGAAAACATCCAACTTGGCATCTCCATACTCATGTTTTGCAGTTTACGTAACAAGGCTGTCAGAATTAACGCGAATGTAGCCAATGCCAAGGAATCGCGGTAGAACAGCACTGCAGGATGAATATAAGAAATGTAACTTGTTATTTGTAATTTAAATCATGTAGTTTTGCGTGTGATTCTGGTAATTGATTCTAGATTCTATTGTATCTTAATTTTTAATTCAAATACTATCTTTCATTGTATTAAATAATATTTGAACAATATTTATATTGGATAATTATTGATACGAAAAGATTTCATTTCAAAGTTATGAAATTGAAATGTCTCTTTTTTTCAGATTTAACTTAGGATATTTTTTGTCAATTATGACATTCTTTGTGGTTTTGATACTCACTTATATTAGGAGGATTAACGCCATTGTACGGCACTAACCAATGTAAATCGAACATGCAGAGTAAGTGGCAAATAAAATTTACGCTCGCGATTGCTACTCGTTCAACCGATCTTGAATCCAACCAGAGCACCGTCAGAGTGAGGAATATCAAAGCTAGAAAAGGCATTCGTGATCTAAGTATATATACAATTACCATGCAAGTTTGTTTTTGCAAACAATTGCTTACAGATGGCTGGTGTGACGTAAGATCTATGATTTATGTCGTTATGCCGTGTCAATAAAAATGTGTAATCAATTTTTGGAAAAGTATCGTTTGGACAACATTTATATTTTTTCACTATTTTCTCTGCGTTTAACAATTTCAAGTCCCACTCTGTGCTATTCTCGTAGCCATTCATGTTTACCTGTGAAATAAATGTAGTTAGATAGTTATTTTTTTATTTTTTAATATGTGAAAATAGTTTTTAATTATGAAAATATATAAATCTATTTATAAATAAAATTTATATAAATAAAAGGAAAGAAAGGTGAAAATTGCATACCGATCTCTCAAAAATGTCTTAAATTAAAACAGACAAAGAAAGATATTTTTTCTTTATTCTATATTCTAATTTAATAATTTTTAGATGAAATTTTTGCCAGCAATTTTACAATATATCGCCCGCATTAACTCAAGGTGCGTTAAGTTAATTTTATAATGCATAATTTTTCATCAAAAGTAATATTCGGAAAAAACTATGTATGGAAAAGATTTATTATTGCAGTTTTGTAAGTCAAGTAATTCACGTACTCCGGTTCCATCTAGATGGACATCGATTTCCTCTCCTGTATGCGACCATGAGCCGAGTGTGATATTACATGTATGCTGGTCGTGAGGCCAATAAGTAAAATCAGGATCGCATTTTGAAATATATTTTACAGATGGCACGCAAATGACAGAGCCCGTATTAAAAAGCAAACATTCTGTGTCAAAAGTCGATTCATCGTTCGACATATCGCCACTAAAAGAACCGAACAAGTATTTAATCGCATTTACATTACGTAATTGAGTGCTAATATAAAAATAAGAATTGAAAAGTCTATCTTAAATAGCGAATAATTTAGCCTAAAAATAGAGAAAATAGAAAATAAAAATCTAAATTAGAGTATAAATTTCTTTTAATTTAAAAAGATAAGATAAATCAAATAATTCTTTTAAATTATTTGTTTATATCTGATCAGATTTATTTACAAATGTTTCCTTCTCTCGCTACATGCTCTATTTTAATTTTTCTCTAATAATATTAGTGTAACGCGATTAATAACGATAATATAAAAGAATAACTTACGAGTTGTAAATATGCAAATCGGGTAACCAAATATCGTAGGATTTCACGTGAATATAAGTAATTCCATTATAATCACTCGATGTCCAGGTAAGATACGTGTCCGTCCAAGACTATTAATTAAATATCTTATTCAAATAAGAATGTGGTACGATAAGTAAAATATTCTAGACTCACCAATGACATCCAACTATGAAGCGTCAGTATACCCTCCCCGGCCTGTAAATAAAATTAATTAATTTTCCTTATATACTATTTAATTGTGAAATGAACAGAAAAGATGAATGTTACACTTTAGATAAAAGTAATTTATTTTTTGACATAAAATATCTATATATTTTAATTAATTTTTAAATTAAGACATGTCCTATGTCAGAAAATAAAAATTGTAATTTTGCTAAAATATAATAGTTCGAATAACAAAGTTCCCGCTAATAATCTATTCTTTTTCGAAATATTATATTTAGAATGTAACGTACTTTAGCACTATAGCTACTGACTTTACAATCACGTAATATAATTTATCACGTAATAATTTACGATAATGCACTTACGAATTCCATCATTTTCGGCATCAGTTTGAGAGTCACGTTGATAACTGTTTTATGATGGTTCGGACGGACAGTGAAATCATAATCGCAAAAAAGATACTTTTTAAGACGCAACAGCGGTGTCGTACTTTCCAAATCTTTGCACCCCCGTGTTACAACTGTGTCTGAATGTGGTGCATCATTGATAATAGAAGCTAAAAAAGAAAATATAGAGTCACATTAAGATTTAATTAATATAATATCATATTTGATCAATCAAATTATTTTAATGTAAATATTACTTTTGACACTTAAAAACGGAGAGGGACTTTGAGAGTTCAACACGGTTGATGGTACACAAATCAACGTTATATTGATCTTTAATAACTATAATAATATACATAATAAATCCGACGTTTCGGCTCCGCTTCGAACCATTTCAGCGCTGCGGTAACAATTAAATGAAAATGATCATGTTTTGCGGAGAGAAATAAGTAACTTCAAAATTTGATGAATTCACCAAGCCCCTTTTTTTTTACTTGTCACTTGTTAATTTCATTATCAAGAATCCCTTGTTATTTATCCAATTAACATCATTTATCCAATTATTAGAATATTACTTTTTATTAGAATATTTCTTAAAAGCTTTAACGATAACAAAAATTATTTTTAAACATACTTAATTGATGACATGCGCTTAATTATTGAATGTAGAAAAATATATGTAATGAAACGCAATTATAATTATTTTACTGAAGATTATATAACGTACCAAATTGACCATGCCAGAGAATTAGGAAAAATCCGAACACTTGTATTATTCTCATCTTGACTTGAACAAGCCAACGGCTCTGATTTAACTAATCCTCTTTATAGCAGCGTAACAATCAAACGCCTCATGAAATCCGAAACTGCTGATATAATGGACGCCCCCAAGGTATCGATACTTGAGAGTTACACGACAACCAATTAAATAAAAACAATCTTGTACGTCGTCCTCCTTCCTCTCCTCGTCAGAATCTTCATCCCTGTCTTTTTTCTGCAATATATTCCAAAAATAATACATTTATCTGTGCTCGAAAGCTTCTCGAAAGAATAAACAAGCACGAAGGCGAAGAAAGAAACTAAATAAACTATATTAATTAAAGACAAGGAACTAAATGGAGTTAAGAAGTTAAATATATTATATTAATTACCTTGTCAGCAGCTTTCTTCCTGCTGGACTTGAATCTCTTTGCTACACACAAGTTACAATGATATTGTACACTGCATGGCTTTACATCCTTGCGTAACAAGAGATCCAAACGTAAAGGATCTCGTGATGAGTAACAAAGCGTGCGCGCATTGCTGTATACCGATCTCCTAATAATATTAACTGTCACTCTGAATAACATAGCAATTCACTCGATTATAATTCGGACTGTCTGCTTATTGGTTATAGATAAACCTCTCTTAACGGTGCGATCGCGTATAATTGGTATAATTATATCGAGTTCTCTTACATGTAGTATTTATTTAACGTGGAACACGAGCTTCTCAACCATGAAAGACTTAACAGCTCCCTTAATTATCTCGATTATTAATCATTAAATAAAGAGACGTATCAGGCTCAACCAGACAGCTACGTACTACCGACTACTACGTAGCCACGTTTATTTTCCGACACCGCCGATAAAACATCATTGCGCGTCCGCAAAAAATTGTTAGGTTTTTATAGTTAACATATTTAAAAAAAGAGTATAACAAACATATATGCATTTGACAAGCGTAGTGTCCGCGTAGATTCGACATTCGCACACATTGACGATTTATAAATTAAAACGTATATTTCGCAAGATTTATTCGACCGAAAATGTATCGCGCGAATATTCGAAGCAGTGATGCCGCTCTTGTCGAACGTGAAGTTAGCCGCGCGAGAGACGATTCGAAGAGCCTCCGCCATATTGATGACGTTCTCCTGCGTAGTGCGTTCATTTCCGGAACACGGCCGGCACGGTACGGATCGGCTCCGGGACGAGTCGGCGTCGCGACTCATTTAATTAAGGTAAGAGTAACTTTCATTAATCTTGCATGCGTGGTTTACTGCGGTATCTATCGCGTACGAATCTATCGATTCAACGCTCGGGTACTAGTGATTTGTAAAAATACGTATTTCGCCATACATGTTCGGTCGAAGGCACGTCGCGCGGACAAGTGACGATTGCATTTTCCAATGTCGCGAAAATATTAGTACATCTATTCGCTAGAATGCAAAAAAACGATCGTGATCATAAGCGAGCCAGCGAGCGTATAGTATTCGGTTTTCGAAATTCGGAAAATTCGTGATCGCGAAGTTGTGAGACCGGGATGAGTAGCGACGCCATGGCACCCTTGGCTCGGTTTGGCGCGAGAAGTTTCACGCGCGGGGGATGACGGGATGACGCGTCTCGCCATATTGATGACGTCAGACGTTCTCCTTCACTTCCAGATCGCAACGGACGCACGGACGCGGGAAGGACCGACTCCGGAACGAGTGGCGTCGCGGAAGTTGTTCAATTGTATAAGAGTAAGCATTATTAATCTTGCATGAATTATTTAACGCAGCACCTATCTTTTCGCGGTACTGTTTGGTCGCAGGCGCGTCGTGCGGACAATCGCGGGTGATCGTATTTGCTCAAAGTACAGAAATTGTATAATCGCGAAGTTAAGAGCGGGATGCGTAGGTAGTGACGCCGCGGCGAGATTTTCGCATGAGTGCGATATTTAATTTCAATAGTGTATCTTCGATGAACCAAGTGCGTGCTTTTATTAACCGTCCGCTCGACTTGCGTAGTATCGCGTCAAGCCGACACCTTGAAACATTTCGTCGCGTTAACATAACGGGCGGTGATGAACGCGGAACGAATCGGGGCAATCGGCGTCGCGACTCCTTTGCAAATTTGCACGAAAAATTATCTAGCTGCTTTTGTATTACAGAGTAAAGATACTTCCTTCCCATGGGTACGACCTTGGCGAGGTTGGAAAGCTCAGTACTCAGTACGAGGATTTTACTACCCAAGCAAAACTCTTGTTCTGCTTGGGTAAAAATTCAAAGACGGGGAAGCTAACGCGTACATACACTCCGCCGAATTAATTGAATAAACGAACCGCAGTCGGTTCGTCGCGTTTGTTCGGGAGTGCCGTTCAAGTAATCGGACTAACGGACTTTTTTTAAACGGGAGTGCCGTACAGTATCGCGCGAGAAAGACTTTTAATGAAATTTTGAAATTAGTCCGCGCGCGATTATAGTTTGTTATCCGCGAGTGTTTCTCGCGAGTGTCCTGTGCGGCAGAAGGAGGCCTGACGTTCTGAGAGGAGGTGGAGGTCTGGGAGAGACATCAGGCGCCGGCGGAACAACATGCGGTAAATATAATTGGTTTATACATATTATGTCTTTCGCGGATAGTTTAACCAATCGGTTTTTCAATCGAATAGTAAAGTTAGCCAGAGAGTAGAAATTAAAAAAAAGTTTAATTTTTAAAATTCTATTTAAAATTCTTGTGTTCAGTAAATAGAGTATACTTTTAAGAAATTAAACGTGATTTTTTTATTAAATTCGTTTAACGAATTAAAATATAGAATTCGGTGTTTTACGTTCGGTAATTATTTTTCGAAATACAGACTGTCTCTTTTCTTCCCTGCTCCTAATCTGGAATATATGTTTAATTGTTACAGAATCATCGTAGCGACGTTGCAGCTACAGTTCCGCTGCTGCGCATCGAAGTCGGTGAGTCAATGATTATTATTTTATATTTGAGGTATCGAATCTATGATATTTACATCAAATATTTTGCAAAGACCTTTTTGTAAAATTACGACAGTATTTTGTTATATATATTACGTTTTATAGATTCGCCGCCTTAAAATGGGTTAACTGGAACTGAATAGTATTAACATTTTATAGTTCTGGATAAATCATATAGATTCATTTAGTGTACATTCGATCTTTATAAATTATATCTCAAATATCTTTCAATAATAGTGACGTGGATAAAAGTGACGTGGATTGTCCTTACCCCCTATCTGTACAAAATTGGTATGGACGGATTTTAATGACTAAGGGCGAAAAATGTTCGTCTTGAAAAGAGCTTTCGAAAGGCGTGTGGCATATATGCACAATTCAACATGGCGTCATAGTTATGGCTGCTTAAAGGGATAAATTCAAAATTTCAGATTAAACATGACGCCATGTTGAATTGCGCATATATGCCACACGCCTTTCGAAAGCTCTTTTCAAGACAAACATTTTCCCCCCTTAGTCATTAAAATCCGTCCATACCAATTTTGGACAGATGGGGGGTAAAAGTGACGTGGATTGTCCCATATATATAAATATAAATATATAAATATATATATATATATATATAGTCTATTTAATGATACATGTAATCCCCATATGTAATCCCATATGTAATCTGTTTAACAAAATCATTTGTTCAATTAATTTGCTCGCAATCACATCGATTGAAATTATTTATGTTCCAATATCTCGCCAATTTTAACCTAAACATTTCCAGTTTATCCATATTAATATATATAAAGAACTGTGCGCATTCACCGATGTCGATCGCTTATTTTTCCATGCATCTGCACACGCACGTGTGATACGTATAGATAAATACGTATACTCACTGCGCACCACGTTGCGTACGCGAACCGTACTCTCCTTATATAGTCTCAAGGTGGAAACGGGGGTTGCGCATGACCGTGAAGAGAAATTTTCGTGAATCGATAATACGCGACCAGCTGTAGCAACGGATTTAGTCACGTGGACAGCTTGTACGTCGTTGCTTGATCCATCAGCGGGCAACCCCCGAAGCCACCTCCGCTCTTTCTCACTTTTCAGCATTCTCGTGAAATTCGATACTTAATTTATATAATTTATAATTTACATAATTGACATATTATCCTAGAAAACCGTGTTCTAGTGATATACATTTCTTTTAACATCGGTCATGATCCTGGCGAGAATCTATGAGCTCGCATTCCGATAGATCACTAAATCATGATTTCAATCGCTTAAATATCGTTTGTCGTTCTCTCGCGATTACAGCGATTACGGAGATTGCAGAGAAAGAGAAAAAAGTGAGGACGAAGTAGGTAGAGAATGTACGGAGGATCGGCATCGAGATGGCTGCAATAGCGAACGTAAAGAGGACAACTCTCTTCACTGGTCGGGAACGATAGAATTAGTAAAACAGCACGGTTGTCTCTCGCTATACTTGTCGCGTATGTAATACGTCTTGAAACAAAGTACAAGACCAAGACAAAAGCGAACTTCGAGCGGCATTGTGCCATCAGATGCGACACGGGTGCGACTAGTCATCTCCGCGGCTGCAGAGTGTTAGCTCATTATTAGGTCGCCTTTCTTGACATACAGCCGGCGGTATCATCACCCTCCGTTCCTCCTCCGAGTCGATGCTTCGTCTTGAAAGTGCGACTGACTTATCACTCGCAAGATCCTATGATATTCGCGATGATTTCGATATTCAAATAGAAAATCTCGGAATTCGATCGGCTGTTGCAGCTTCTTCTTCGGCGATTTTTTCTGTCAAAGTTCTCTTCCTTTTCGAAAATTCTCGCTTCTCGCACAATCCAGGTTCTTTAATTCTTAGAGACACATTGTCTCTATTTTATAAAGCATTCGATTTGTATAGGTGATGTTAGATTCTTGTATTTACCTATAGTCTCTTGACACTTTATTTAGATAATTTTGGTTTCACGAATTGACTTTTTTGATAAATTTTCCCTGAACTATTCTTTTTGTGTATCCGTACTATAACACATTCAACGCCTCATCTATCTTTAAACTTAGGTTTTGATTTTTAAATTTCTTGAACTTTAGCTTCGTACAATCTACCATCATATCGTCAGATATGCCACTTCGATTTTATCAGCAAGTATAGTTGCAATAAATATGCTGTTGCATCTTACAAAAGACTGAGACAAGTTGCATAGTACAATAAAAAAATATGAAAACATTTTTATTAGTATATTACATCTATATATTATTAAACGATAATAGTAAATACTTTTGTTCCGATTCGGTAATTATAAAAAAAAATAAAAAATATTTCTCGCGTGCTGCTTATATATAACAAAATCTTCATGTTGCTATTTACAAAATCTTTTTACAATTTTGCCACGTTTCGCTTTATTCACAATCGATATTTATATTGAACATTGTTTCTATTATCCCGAAATTAAATTATATGCGTATGCCTATCCGAATAAGCAACAGGATATTATTCATGAGCCTCGCGATTTTCATCGATACTACATTCGAGCAGATCTATCAATCACAATCTTACAATAAAATAATAGAGCCACTAATATGTGGTAGAGTTATGCTAATGTCCCTCCGGTTGATTTAAATTATATATAACTGTTCATTTCATATAATTTCAATTTCTATTGTTAATATCTATGAGAAATCGAGTAAACACGTTATTTGAGAGTAGCGAAATGTACATATAATTATCGACACGTCATATTATATACAGCCCACTTCACATATAAGTAATCTATCTTTTATAAAACAGTACAGTTAGTTTACATAATATACTTTGAATAACAATAAATTTTCCGTAAAACTTAACGCGGTTAAAGATTCAATTTCATCAACTTAGTGTCTAAACTTGAAAGTTCACAGTATCCTATGTCCTGCATTGAAAGGAATCTGCGCATTTTTGGTCTCGACTGTTAGATGTATTAATAGATAGTATTTATATGTACAGATCCGATGTCGGCAACAAAACTACGTCATTTTACAATATCACCAGCATTCGTCAGCAGCTTAACGTAAGCGTAGTAAACTTATCTAAGCATATATTACATCATACTTGAGTTTTGGTAACCGAATGACAATAGCGTGCAATTTCAAATAAACTCAATCAAATGAACTGTAAATTAAAGTAGGCTACACATAAAGTTTTCTAAGCTAATATACAAAATATTTTGTTAAACGATGAACTAGAATTTGCAGTCTTACCTACATATATATATTTATTGAAAACGGTTTCGACTGAGAATTAAAAGTCAAGGAATCAAGCAATAATGAAATACATAGCTCTTGAAAAAAAAAAAACAGATCGAATAATTATACATTAGTATATACATTTCGTTATACATGCGTTTTTGTTTCGTACGTGAATCAAATTTAAAATACTTCTCAAAGTTTGCAATCATATATAAAATATGGAATTATTAATCTCTTTCCATAATAAATCACTGCATGTGATACTCGTTGCAAAAGAGAGGAAACGATAATATTATTACGTAATTTACCAAATACATACTTGACAGATTAATGCACGAGAATATTTGTCATAAAGCTAAGTCGCAATATCATCATTCAAAAAAAGAAATTAATAGCTTTTATATGTATTAAAATACTATCTACTTCCGGATTATACATATGCATATTCATCCTCATTATGCCTTGACGCTTCTATATCGTGCGCACCACAGTACCAACGTATCTTTCGCGAGAGAAAAGAAAAAGATCTTTCCGCGAGACACGAACAACTCGTAACGTTTAATGATAGTCACAGCTATGTCAAGCCATTACGTAATAACATCGTTTCTGTTGGAACTACTGGCCATCACCGACGTATTATCTGAAGTATCGACATAATAATCGGAATTCGGCACCACGGAATTTGCCATAATCCCGCGTCGTGTCGGTGCGATTTGAACAACAGGTGCTGGAATTTCTTGAGCGTCCGCGTATAAACTCACCGTGTGCGGATTAGTACTGCTAGCCGAATGTTCCAACTCCTGTGATTCACCTGTAGATCGAACAAAACGAACGCGTTTGAAGCAGTTCTCATAGCTACATATACAGTCTATATATAATTAGTCTTACCGTTTATACTGTGAGTGTCGGATACCATAAAAACGGTGACATTGGCTGGTTCACCAGCACTAGTACTAACGCCATCCTCGGTGGTAACGTAGGACTGCTCAGAATCGGAGCTATTATCGCTAGAATTACTAATATCCTGTCTAGCCTGTGATCTCCTAGCTAAAGCTCTGCTAAAAGGATTTTCCATCTGCCGCGCAAACGTTCCCCCTTGTGTACCTAGAAGAACATTTCTCCCCGAGTTCGCAGCAAATGCATATTATTTATTGATCGCAAAGGAAAATATCTCCGCACCTTGGTGGCCGTCGCGAATGAGAGGTGCTGTATCATCATCCGAGTCGCTCTCGTCAGTCACGACTTGCTCGTCAGCTGCAAAAACCTTCCTTTTGCAGACAGGACAAACTCTTCGATTTTTTGTCAACCATGGGTCAATACATTTTGAATGATAAGCTGAAATTATAAACGAATAGTAGTAGTTTAATAATTTAACACATTTAAGAGGTCGGAAGAAAAGTCTGGCTGAAGGAACAAAATATCGATCGCTATGATCAAAATATCGAGTAGTTTGTTAGAAAAACGTACCGTGTGCACAAGGTAAAACTCGTAATTTCTCTCCTTCTACGTAATCGTCCAAACAAATGGCACATGTCTCGTACGGATCACCCTTTGTATACTTGTGTGTAGGGATCTTTTTTAAGCTAGAATTAGGTAGCCTGTGCCTCCGTTGTCGCCTTCTGTCCTTTATGCATCTGACAATCTGTACAGTATATAAATAATCGGTACACTTTTGAAGTCGGTAAAATATTATGCGCACTGTATCTTGGCATCGCCGTCTACGACTTACCATAAAAATAACTATAATTAGAAAACATATCCCAACGACAATGGCAAAAGGCAAGAGCAAATGGGTGTTGATATTGAATGGCAGATCGTCGTTAATCAGTACAAAATATTGTTGGTCGTATAAATAATTGTCCTTGATAACAACTCCCGTAATGTCGCTAACAAACACGGATGGTATCAAAATTCCTATGGGATCCTTTGCGGACATCGGTTCTGGAATAAAGTAACCATCTCTTTGCCGCATCTTCATTGACGTAGACAGTATTTTGCTGTTATGATCATTAATAACACGGCTAGTTTACCTAATTCTTTGCTGTTTACATTGTGTACAATAGCAGCATCGTATCCAGCTTGCTGTGCCATTCGAACTTTTATTTCAAAGCTGCAGTTAAAACGTCGTATTAACACTATCCAATTACCATTGTAATCGGTATTGTTCGGCGGGGCCTGTATCTTGTGGCACGCGTGGGGAGGATCGGCATAAACTACCATACCCTAATGACATCACACAACGTAAGATTGTAGGCACACAAGAGATCCTTATATATAATTTGTTACAAAACAAATTAAGCGACGTATACCTTAATGCCTTCCGGTGGTATCATGCCTCCGAACTTGGCAGGCATATCGTGAAACTCTTCCTCGATTTGATGTCTTCCTTGGGCGGAAAACACTAGGATATCCCCACTGCTGTACGTGGCGTAGAAAATCAGGAAGATAAGCCACGACAGGACTTGGTGGTTCAAACACTGGCGCATTTTGAAATCGGTCTAAACATCCACCGTTGCATCAAGTTCAATATCTCCCCAAGATCTCGCTCGAGTGGTTCATTCTACAGTTGCCAGGTTTATTTTGTTGATATCATGAAGAGCGACATCCAACGCGGACAGAAAGTACATTGTATAAAACGTAGCCAGGCCGCTCTGGAAAACAACAAATTACATCCCACCTCAGTTTCAAGACTATACACTGTCGCACAAATACGAAACAAATCTCTGGGCTCTAGGTGTCGTTCTTACGATTAGGCACATGCGACACCCGCACACTAAACGCAATGATTCACAATACAACGTCTAATCTAATCAAAGTAAACAAACACGTGCACGGCCTGCCTGTCAGGGTTCTTGGTTCTTGGTGACACGAAATCAACGCTAGGCGCATAATAATCTCGCTCGCTCGAAAGAGCTCCCCGGGAGGACAAAGCCAACGTTATCCGCGAGTCGTAAATGGATCCCCGCGCAGCTGCCTCTCCGCGGTCCATCGTCCGTCAGCGGAGCGAGGGGAGGAGAGGAGAGGAGCCTCCTCCGACCTCGTTCCGACTGACGTCGTCGTCGAGGGGCGCGGAGGTAACACCTGTCGTCGACCAACCCGTTTCCACCAGAATGGAGTTTTCGATCGACGACTCTTGCTCCCTGCTCCGGACTTAAGGGAAACTGATAACACGCATTAATCGCATGAATCGCGAGCGAGACGCGTGCATGCGTCGCGCATGCAGAGGCGGGTCATCGCGGGCTCGATCCGTTCGGCTTTGGATGCTGATTGACCGCGTTACGTCGCGGAGATAACCGTCGACGATAACCACGATGACGGGGGGGGGGGGGGGGGCGGGGGGGGGGGGGTAGAGTAATTTCGGCGCAGGAGGAACCTGCGGGAGGGACGTCGCGAACGAGGGACGTGGACGTGGACGATACGTACTCCGAGGTCGATCGCGAGTCTCTCATCCGCACGCGACCATTAGTCACTCGACGTCGCGAACGCTCCTCGGCTGGCCATTGACGAGGATGATCCCGTCGGAGGGGTCCTCCTCCTCTCTTTCTCTCCTCCCTCCTCCCTTTTCTTTCTCTCTGGAATATATGTCTCTCTCCCTCCCGGGATGTCCGTCCGGTGAACGTTTCTCGGCTACTTCCTGGACCGCACGCGATCGTTCGCGCGACGAAGGCGACGGGCGCGAACGTCACTTTCGAGGTTAGCTGCGTCTCAGTTTTCACTCTTGGTTCATTCTCCTCGCGAACGGCGGACGAACGGGAGGAACGGCGACGGCGGAACAGATGATTGACGCGGCGTCGACCGATCGGGGGTCGGTGTCGCTCACCGGGCAGAGGAATTAGGAGGAATCGGCTGGAAAATCGCTAACTGATGAAACGAACTGTCAGTCGGTCGAACTCGCACGAGAAGTGCGTAAGATCCACGGCCAATCGCGTGCATGCGTGGTGCGTGGGCGAGAGGCGGCCTCGATCGGCACGCGACTCTTCTCAAGTTTATTTTTTGTAGCTGAATCCTTCTGGAGCTTTTCGTCTTTTTTCCTTCTCTCGAGAAAGAGAATCTAATCATATTATATCTTATTATATAATTAATTGTTATCCACATTATCTATAATCATATTATAGTATAGATCTTATTATATCATCTAATAATATTATCTTATTATGTAATATCTGTATGTAGTATCTCTTTGAAATAAGTTATCAATATCTAATCATTATTTCATTTTAAAGGCAAAAAGTATAACGCTATGCAGTTACAGAAAACCGCCAACAAAATATTATTAAAGATCAATGAACTTATGAGACTTCAAAATTTATATCATCTAAACATTAAGTCTTACAGCCGTGAGCAAAGTGATTATCTGATTATTACAAAATAATTGTGGAAATATATAATTACAAGATCTCTAAGGTGACTTAGGTTTTCAATCCATTTAATCGACATTAATTTGGTGTTCCTGATATATTCTTTCTTTTTATGCGTCCAATGTATGTTAACGAAATACTGCAAGTAACTTAACTGTTAACTTAATAGGCGATTAACTTGCCAAGCTTATTCAAGAAATTCCTAACAGACTATATATGATTTGAAAACTATAGAAGAAAGATTTCTCTATTCTCGAACCGAAAACTTATTTTATTTCTTCATTTACCTATCTTCTAAAAAAATAAAACACTAATCGATACCGCGTTGTTCAATCAAATAAAAGCTGTATATAACATATATTGACTGACGTCTACAAGTGAAAGGAAAAGAGGACAGAAAGACAACTTTAATCAAAACATATTTTATTTTTGTATGTAGAAACTCAGAGATTTACATAATTTCTCAGCAGGAAATAAACAATCGTCGAATAGTATAAATCTGATAATCGTATCTATATATGATAAAGTGCGATGGCTAATCCACAAATCAACAAACCAATCAAGTTTGAGATCCTTCAGATCCTTGAGATACCAAATTTTCAATTGCCTTTTTAATACGTATAAAATGAACGTCTCTCACGCAAAGTCAATTAAAATAATATAACTCCGGGAATATTAAACTTCAGGCCCACCGAAAATATAGAACCGCCTTTGGAAACGTGTACGTAAAATCAGAAGTGTCTCGAAAGTACAAGTGTGACAATGTAATTTTACTTGTACTTACTGTAGCCACGCCGATATGTATCTTTCAAGATACGTATCAACAATGCCAAAGTGTCACACTACTTTGTACTGTCTCACTTATAGAAAATACGACGAACAAACAACGAGCGGCATACCTATTTTATACATGAGCAGAAATCCGTACAATCGTTATTATTATTACATACGTCATTGTCGTTTTTATGATGCATCACACACAGAACAATGCTATATACATGAGTCACGATATTTATAAAATCTTCGTTCGATTGTAATTTATGCATCGTTGCATCGTACGTTACAAAATACAATGTGCCGGAAATATGACTGGAAAAGCTTTATCTAAAACAACACGTTCGATTTGTAACCGTAATACAAAATCAAATCCGCATTCGTGATACAATTTACAACACATTCGTTTCGGAAAAAAGAACTGAGGTTAAAATCGAAATAAAGTTTGACGAAAGTTAGTTGACTCCGACAGTAAAATGTGGTTTTATAAAAATCACGATTAACAAGACACGAATGTAACGAAGCTGACGTGCGTATTCTGCTGAAACATTTATGTAAAATTGTCAGTCAAGATGGCAAGAACTCTGTTAATTCAAGGCACCGTTAAACATCATTCAGTATCTCTGCCAATTTCCGAATATATATTTAATATAGAGTCTAAGTTCCATTACAATTATTTACACTTATCGTGATTTTATCCCCGTAAGAATTCGAACTCGTTAAATTTGTCTACGCGAAAATCTATCGTCGAGCAACTACACTTTCATCAATAGTCTTTCTTTGTGTCTCATCGGTCTCATCAAATCGATTGCAAATCAATGTATGTAATACAGAATATAATTCCCTTTACAATTCACAATTATTTACAATTACCATAATTTCATCCCGTAAAAATTCGAACCCGTGTTAAATTTGCCCACGCGAGAACCTATCGTCGAGCAACTGCGCTTTCACCAGAATAGACTTCTTTTGTGCCTGATCAAATCGATTAACTTGCAAATCGATGTCTCTATCAAATGGCCTTCTCGTCGATATTCCAGCCCGTCTCGCTTCTTTTTCCTCTTTCTGAAAAATAAGACATATACATGTATATACATACAATCCCTAGTACAGCAAGTATACGAATGTATGGAAAAAATTAATTTAATAGATCATAACTTAAAAAAATACAAATCAAGTTACCTTCTTTTTCTTGGCGACCTTGCTTTGATGCATTTCTAATAATGATTTCTCGCGTTTTCCACTTTTGTCTGCTTCCTTTTTTTGAAATTCATTTACACGTTTTTTCTCTGATTCTCTGAGTTTTTTCTCTGATTCTCTAAATCTTCTTGTTTCCTAAAAAAATGCGACGAGCATAAGCATATATATAAAATTCTAAAGCCTTAATAATAACATGGAATGCCTCGCATTTGAAACAGCGATGTATAGCAAGACATTTTTTTTTTTAATATTTACCAAGTCCATCTGCTTCTGAGCTTTTTGTACTGGTGTGTCAGTCCAACATGATCTATCTGACATATCTGGGCCATCTCGAAGTCTGAATTTGCGCGGGCCTAATCCAAGATTAGCAGCTTGAGCGGGTGGTAACTCGGTCATCCATTCCTCGCGTTTATTTCCGAAATCAATCTAAAATACGAATACTTTTCTTTCTCATTGATAACTAATAATCCATCCGTATAAGCAATTTATTTACGCATTGGTTGGATAGAACATGTTGATTGGATAGAACAATTCTCTTATATTAAATACTCATTTGATTTTCCTGTCACTCCACATATAAGAAATTTTAAACAGGTAACATTATTCCACTATGATACAAATAACAAGAACAAGAATAAAAACTTAAATCGATCCCAGGATAACTAGACAATAAAATGATATTGAGGGCGAAAATCCAAAAAAGTTAGAAAAAAAAAATATATTTTTCTTTACCTCTTCCGAATATTTTTCATCCCTAATTCTTTGTGCTCGCAAATCTAACTGTTCGTGCACACGGCTAGTTCTTAGAGCTGGGTGATCCACAGGTAGAGGACCTATCGCAGAATCATCATCAGATTCCGGAAAAGCAGTCAAACCTTCTTCGCGCGATTCCAGAGTGTCGGGTAGCACGGGGCCGATAATTCTATCCCGCGATTTTTTCTCTCGTTGTCGTTGTAACAAATGTGGTGGCAGTACTGGCCCGAAAACAGCGTCCACTTCTGTCGCAGAAGCATCCGCTGTGTCATCTTGCCCATCATCAGATCTTCGACGATCTTTTAACCGAGGTAGCAAGCAAGGTCCGATGAAATTCATATTTTTTCCATCGACCTCATCGTTGATTTTATTTTCGTCAATATTCGACTTGTCAAAATCAAGCTCGTCACCAGACGCGTTAGGCACGAAGCTCGGTGGTAAAAGCGGACCGTACGTGGATCCGGTTTGATCCGTATCTTTCTCCAATAATCGCGTCTCATCCGAAGAAGCACTAGAACGCGAATATTTCTCTCCCGAACTCGAACGCTCGACGTTACTATCGTAAAGCCGTCTCTCCTCTTCACGATACTCAGACTTTTCTCTCTCAGAGTCCATACGCGTTACCAAGAGCGTCGCGTGCGATGCAGAGCCGAGTAAGGAATCTGAAACGGCGCTAGGATAATTATTACTGGAACTAGATGCCGGATCACAACTCCCTCCTTTTACCTTTAATTCCTCCCGCCGTTTTTTCTCGCTGACTCCGTCGTCGTTCTCTCGCTTTGTCGCACGACTTTCCGACCGGATTTCGGAATCGTGCCTTTTCAGCTTGATCTTACGCGAGTGCGGAGACGACGTTCGGCTCTCGGAATCCCGATCGTCGGACATGTTCTCATCGGTCTCCGACAGAACGTCGAATTGCGATAGATCCAAATCCTTGCAGTCTTGAGCCTCTATCGACGAATCCTTCTTGGTATTCTCGTCCGAACGAGTCTCGCTATGACTGCGCTCTCGCTCGGTGTTCTTAGGCGAGGAATAGTCCCTTGAATTTTGCGACCTATTCTCCTTTACCGATATCTTCTTGGAGGAATCGTGTCTCCCGTGATCCTCTCGAGATCGATGATCGTCGTTCGAAGATTTAATCAGTCTACTCGACTGATGAGATCTATCTCGGCTTCTATCGCGTGAACGATGCTTGTGTCTTTCGTGATATCGACCACGATGCTTATCGCTCGTTGCCCGCTCATCGTGATGGTTTCTCTCGTACGAATGTTCTCGCGAGCGTTGCCCCCGGTGGACGCTCCGATCCTTGTCCGATTGCCGTTTCGAGTCACGCAATCTCTCCCTCGCGTCACCCCCGTTGGAATTTCTGGAACCTCTGTCATTCGTGGCGAATCCAGACCTACTTTCCCTGTGGTCCTTGTGCGAATTTTTGCTATCCTCCTGTCTCGAGTTTCTCGACTCGTGCTTCGAATGCTTCGCGGAGTGTCTGAGATCCTTGTCATCCGTCTTGCTACCGCTCTCGTGTTTGGACCGTTCCTTCCTGTCTCGATAACTCTCGTTATGGGACGATTTGTGCTTCTTCTTAGGCGTCTTCGTTCGATCTGTGGTATCCACAGGTGCGACCGAATCCTTGCGCGTGGCCTCGAAACGAAATCGCCGCCCGTCGTCGCTATCCTGACTCTCGGAATCGGAATCCATCGCTGTCATAGTCTAGTTACATACTGAAAACACGAAAAAACCATTATAAGTTAAATCTTTAATGACAAGTGTACATAAATGACTATACGTAAAATAATATCTTGAATTCTCGCGATATTAAACAACATATTTTAGCAGGCAACGTTTCAATTTATGGAACGAGACTCTTTTTAAGCAACAAAAAAAAATAGCTTTACTGATTTACGAGCGTATACCACAAATTGAAGGCATCAAATAATACCTACAAATAAAATATTACATTGTTGAGTGCAACTATCCACTTTATTTGTGATACAGGCTTCGTATAAGAATTTACAAATGTATGTATATACATATATCAGGACTGAAGCTTTTTCTAAAAGAATAATGGTAACTACTCGACGCGCTTCTCGGCGTTCTTAGACTCTGTCTTCTTCACAACGGTCTGAACAATTTTATTGATTTTATTCGGATCAGGTAGTGGATTGGATTGTAACATCTTAATTATCTTGGCGCTGCTGTACTTAACGGACTTTACGAGCCCGGCAGTTACGATTCCCTTTAGGCTTTGCGTCACGCTGGACCTCCAAACGATCTCTTTCAAGCACCGCTCCAATATCTCGCAACACTCCGGATCGTGTGCGATCGCGCGCAGGCAATCTTCCGTATCTTTCGATCTTGGGCCGTGAGACCATGCCCTGACTAGTTTAACCTGCGGTGTTCTGGGTAAGTGATTCAAGTGATGGACTCTAGTCGCCGGACTAGTGTCCTGATGACACGTGACAGCCATGTGATCTGACTTTGGAATATCTACGTAATTGTCGAAATGTTTCAAGATTGGTTCGTACAACTGCTTGAAATGATGCAACTGTGGCAACACGATGTTGCTGATCTTATCTTTATTCTCGCCGAAGATCATTCGAAAATCGCCGTGGTAGGACAGACTGGTGATTCTTTTGAAGAAGTCAACCTCCGTAAAATGCTCGGGCAACAACAGCAGGGCTGCGTGTACGGCCGAATGTAAATTCTGCACTAGAGCGGTGCGCAGTTGAGAACTCTCGTCCGGCTCCACCAATACTTTAACCGGTTTGTGCAATCTCCCAGCCAAATACAGATCGTTCCAGTCCAACAAATCCTCCACTAAGGAAACTTCAGAGATTACTCCGTACTTGATGAGTTGGCCTTCGCTCGTTCTCACCAATGTGTTGTAAAATATCTTGGCGCCCAATCCTTCTTGGACATTAGTGATCGCTTTAGGGCCAAGAAATCTCAACGGTTGAGCGTAATGCTTGGGATTTTTTGTCAGATTCTCGGTGTGCCACTTGTTAGCGTTTCGTACCACGAATATGAGATCCAGCATGTTATCGCCATCGTTATTAATCTGTTTAAACGCACCTGATCCGTAAGCGAAGCAGAACTTCATATTCCCGGGAAACTCCCCGAGTAAATGTCTCAGTTGCGGTATTCTGACGATTTTATCCATCGTTCCGAATTACTCCAGGCTCGTAATAGGACAGATAATTTTCCAGGATGCGCGTTAAGAACACCTACAATTTCACGTAGCCTCTCACATCGCCTGATCTAATCTTAACGAGGAACTCGCCGAGGGACACGCTCTACGATCAGAATGCGGCCGACGTTACAGTTCGCACCATGAAGTTTCACGCTGTGGCGATCGTCGGGATTCGAGGAAGGTGTACGTCGACAAGGCAATTCTCGAGCTGTCGCATATGCGTCTCTCTCTTGTCGTCCTAGGCGCCGACGTCCCGACGTGATACGTGGCCGACAGATCTCGCCGATCTCCGCGGTCAACCGCGCGTTTTGCCAACACGATCGCCCATCTAACCTAGAAACGCAACTCGTAAATAGACTCGCTTTCGAGTTTACTTACTCAGCGAAGGGGCGGGACGGGTTTTCTGTCCCCGAGAAGGGACTGACCGAGATGGTTCCCGTCGACGAGGGGACCAGCCTCAGTCTCGCGATCTCGGACGAGTGCGTACACGCGCGTGAATACTACCTCACGTATACGCTTATACGCTTCGGAACGATCGTGATTCACCCTCGTACTCGTACTCTCGTAGCTCGTAGCCTCGTATACTCGAGGCCCGACAAGGCGTCGCGATTGTATGTACATACGTGACGCGAGTCTCACTCGGCCGAACGCAGGTGGGAAGAGGCGTAATCAGAGTAATTCACCATTATACATACACTCGAGTGTTCCCGTGACGAGGCAAATCGTTCGCCTTTGCCCTTTAAACGATGACAAACGGATGAGTCGCTGACACGCCGACCCGGGCCCCGGGCAAAATTCCGCACCTCCGCTGACTCCGCAGCGAAACGTGGGTCGCTCAGTTGTGCACGCCCTTAAAGGTACGAACTTCCGGCGCTTAGCGCGCCTGGCGCCTCCGACGTTTGCGCCGTAGGTATAATTAAGGGCGGAAATCACGAGCCGATAACATGATAACATGATCCATAACATGTCCATATTGTCCATTTCAACCTGTCCATTTTTCTTATTCTTAAAATTGGATAAAAATAAAAAGTAAGTTAAAACGAGATTAAGGTTAATCCACATTGGTAGAAATAAACAACAGAAATTACAGATCTTAAATATAAAATCAAATTGCAAGCATGAAGAAGAGAATTGTCAATCTTTCATCGCGTTTGACGGAGTGAAAGAAAAATGATGTCCATTTCTACCGATGTAGGTTAACTTTAATCTCGATTAAACCTACTTTTTTTAATTCTTAGAACTAGAAAAAGATAGGAAGTGAGTTAAAATTAATCTGCATTGAATAGAAATATATTGAAGGTTGGAGGTTGGAGGTCCTGCGGTCGACGTATCTCGAGATATCGATCTCTCTTTCTCGACGCGACGCGACCTCTCTTCCTCGGCGAGAAAGAATCGACGCGATGGCCGTCCGTGCTAAATCGCGCTGATCATCGCACGACAGACGTCTCGGTTGATTCGGAGAGAATCGCGCACTCGTGTCGATTAATTCCCACGGTACTGTCGTCCGCTCCTCTCTTTCTCCAATCTTATCTCCGGAATCGCCGCGCCGGTTTCCACGGATCCGGGCGAAGCCTAGCGAGAACAGCGAGCGGGAACTCCGGGGAGCGACATGGAGGTCGACGTGCCTGAAGAAAATACAAGCGAGCAAACGGCGATGGAGATCGATGAGGACACCTCCGAGAGGAACCCGAGGGTGTCCGGGAGTGTCAAAGTCATGGCATCCTCGGGCACCGTCGGCTCCGTGTCCATCAGCCTGCATCCGCTGGTGATCATGAACGTCAGCGAGCACTGGACCAGACTCAGGGCTCAGGAGGGCAGCGATCAGTTGGGTGAGATCCTTTTCTCGATAATTAACAGCAAGCCCGATAGCAGGGCGCAATTCCTCGCATTTGCCAATTAAATTACACCCTAAACATCTATGGCTGCGTTCAAGGAGCGCGTTATTAGCGCTATTGAATCATTCTGTCTTTATCGCTCATCAGGAGTAACACAAGGGTAGAATAAGCAAATAGCGCTAATAGCGCGCTCCCCGAATCTAGCCTATATAACTTCCAAAATGAATTTTGACACGCGTTAATGCGCAAAGTATTTCTAGAGATCTCAGTCATATACTTTATAAATTTTGTTAATAATCCGCAAACTAGCGCAAACTGTTTCTGACAACGAAATACTTTCAGTGTACGGCGCTCTGATCGGTAAACAGAAAGGTCGCAACATAGAGATTATGAACTCCTTTGAACTGCTGTTCAACTGCATCGGTGACGACGTCATAATTGATAGGGATTATTATAATACGAAGGAGGAACAGTTTAAGCAGGTCTTCAGTGAAATGGACTTTTTGGGCTGGTATACTACCGGTGACATACCTACCGAGAAAGACATTAGAGTGCACAAGCAGCTTTGCGAAATTAATGAAAGTCCTGTGTTACTGAAACTAGATCCGAGACCAAAAAACACAGAGGTAAATTGACCGAAATGTGTTTCTGTGAGAAAATATTATCTTTTTTTTTATTTTTTAAATGCATCAAAAGATGATATGTTTAAGAATAATGAAATTTGGTTGCAGCACTTATCTGTCTCTATGTATGAATCGGTTATCGACTTGGTTAACGGTGAGGCTACCATGTTATTTGTTCCGTTAACTTACACGTTAGCCACAGAGGAAGCTGAGAGAATTGGAGTCGATCACGTACAAAGGATGTGTAACAACGATCAAGGCGAATGCTCAGTAGGTGCGTAATATAACAATACAGTTTAGGTAATTTTTGTTGACATTGAGTCAGAATCAACAGTAAATTAACTAAATATCTGATTTCACACACACACACAGTGGCTGAACACTTAACGGCGCAGCACAGTGCTATTAAAATGTTGCATGCGAGAGTGAAACTCGTTCTGAGATATGTGCAAGCGGTGCAGAATGGAGAATTGAAGGGAAATCACGAAGTTCTTCGAGCGGCTTGTTCTTTGAGCCATCGACTGCCTGTCCTGAATAACCCGAAATTTAAGGCTGACTTTTATAACGTTAGTATGAACTATACATTAAATATATGCATTAGGAAAAATACGCTACAAAAATATATCTCTACTAATTAGTTATTTTAATTTAATATATTTTTTTTGTTTACAGCAATGTAATGATTTTGGCTTGATGACGTATCTCGGTATCATAACTAAAGGCTGCAATAATATAAATCAATTTGTAAACAAATTTAATATCCTGTATGATAGACAAGGCGTGGGAAGACGTCTACGAAGTCTCTTCTTCTGATATGTAAATAGAATCTATTGTTTTTATACATGTCTTTTTTTACTTCTTAGATAACTAAGTATCGAACTCAGGATTAAAGTTTAAACAGCCAACTTAATCGAGGGATAGTTTGAATACTACTTCTAGAAGTACGTTGTATCGAATATAAATAAAGTAAAGAAGTTACATAACAGTTTTTTTTTTTTAAGTGAAATGTAATAGCTAATGATAGAAAGTAAGAACCACCCGAAACATACATTATATCGTTAATGTTGTTCAGAAGTAATATTTATTAAATGCTGTCTTGTATAAATGGTATGTTTTAACAGATTTCAATTAACAATAACGTGTGATATTAATAAAAACTGTGATGCGTTTCAAGAGATCTTTTTTTTTTCTTTACGTTAACATCGATTTAGCATTTAGTCAAATTATAATATAAATAATTATAAAAAAAATTTATATTGCTAATTATATATATATTGAAGTATGATTATAATAAATTTCGAATATAGATGCAAAATTCCATCTTGTAATATAAATTTATTAATATATACTTCATATATATTTTATATGCTTTTGACACTCCTATCATTCATTGAGATTCAATGAGAAGTACAGCAAGATTATATAAATCATAGAATACTTTCACACGTTTTTGCTTTAATAATGGAAGACCTCATTTTAATTGATTTACATACTACCAAGCATACTTTTTCCTTTGTAGGCCATATTACCCACTCTTTATACCCGAATGTACGATTCCGTTACAGCGACTTATGTATACACATAAGTTTTACCTTCATAAAAAATTGCCTACACATTAATCTTTTATTATAAAATACTAAAAGTTTCCCCTCTAAAAATCTATTTGCATATTACGTATATATATATATATGTATATACTCTGACTTAAAGTATAGAACGACTTAAAAATATTATTGTACAAAATATAGTTTAGTATATTGTGCCTCGTTAGTTATTGCATGTAACTGTAAATATCCCAGTTACGCCTTCTGTACGAAGTAAAACCCAGAATTGACCTCTCGTACATGACTAGACCGTTATTACGTATGATTGCAGAGAGTTTGCCACGCTGTCTTACGACAACGTGACATTAACGACAACTGAACGTCCGGTATATCACGCTATGTTCGTTCTCCATTAGATCCTTATAGTACAAACTTGATTCGACAGCACGATACACTACGTACATAGACTAGAAAATATCGCAGCGACAACCTATCTTTCCCTATTTGATATATTGCCTTGTACAACGAATTGTGCGAGTTTGCATGATATCCTTTTGATATGCTAGACGAGAATAGTAGTTCGAACAAAAAACAAAAGAATAACAACCGAATCAATCTTCCTTTCGTCAAAATGAAACTCGTATAACACGTTCATCTAACAATAAGACTAGGCTTATACGAATTAGAGTTATTAAAGCTAATTATCGGCCTTGCGTTTAACTACAGTCAAATATACCCGTTCGTTTTCTTTTCTTTTTCTTTTTGTATGTCCTCCTCGCGGAAGAGTACATAGTGATATATTAGTTTTTCAGTAGGCTGTCCTCGATCATAGTAGCCAGCACGTCTACCAGAACGGACAGCATCGTGTCGGGCTAAGGACCCGATTTATCCATGCCGATGATCTCCTCGAAGAGACTGTTCTTTCCTTCCACCTGTTCCTCGATCGCATGCATGGCGTACCTCAACGTCGCGGCAGCCAGATCGCCCACTGACCAACGTCTGTCCATTAGAACTCTGCTTACAGTGTCTAACTGAAATGCGAATTAGAACAGTGAAGAGTCAGGTAATAAATTGGTATTATTACTTTTTACCTTGGATAGGCCAGAATTGCCAGAAGTGTAATAGATTAGTCTCGGTGTGCCTGCCAGGGAGGAGGCGAGCCATTGAATAACGAGTTTCAATTGCGGATTGCCTTTCAATCTAGTTCCACATCCCCAGTTGCCAGTAGCCACGGGCAATAAGCCTCCTCCTTGTGGACTGTTTTCGTGCGGTAACTACGCACACGATAAGACAATTTATTATAAATTATTTTGTCACCGTGTACGCCAGTCTTTCCTGATGTGATAAACATAATTAGTAAAGATTTCAAATTCTTGCCGCTAGGAATGTGATTATCGGACGTCAGGTTTCTAGAGATACACGTAACATACAAAGCTATACGGTTATTATCGTTTTAGTTCACATGGATAATTATTCTGCCTTTTTATCATAACGATCAAAAGAATGTATATGGACGATATTTTTACCCTACGGTTAATAACGAATAGAATGAAGCGAGAAGTGTGTGAGTGAATTGTAGAATTGGATAGACTGAGAGACAGATAAATATATTAGTTATAAGGATCATGAACACGATGAAGATGCTGATCTCGGTTCGCGCGTCATGCATCAAGTCGACAGATAGAAAGAGAGAGAGAGGAAAAAAACCGGAGATACGAGATATCAGTCTTATCGACGAGTTACATCTTGCCGAAGAGTCCCAAGCCACAGAAAGTGCTCTTCCTCCAAGCGATTTTAAATACGGGTCGAACACAAGTTGCTGTCTCATGCATTGCGATTATACACGTGATGCGATCAAGTCATCAGAATCACCTCCGAGACACCGAGCGTGCTCGCTTCGCGCGTTTCACGCTCGTTCGCCGTCTGTACAGACTCGGAGGCGGGCGGTGTAGACAGGCGTACGGTCGTATGATCATCGACCAACGTTTGGAACACTTCCGACGTAAACGTGACTGCCCAAAGTTTCCTACGTTGGGCGTCCTTCGCCTCTCTTACCATCTCGCACGAGGCGTCCTCGTAGCGATCTACGCCTTCGGACTCAGACACCTGTATAGCATTTCCGGCTGCCTGTAGTCCAAACTCGAAACTTTCCATTCACCCGATTATTCTACGTTAAATTGGCTTTGCTCAGTCAAGTCGATTTGAACTGTCTCTCATTCCATCTTACTTTCTCATTATTACGAAGTTTCGAGAGTACATATGTATGCTTTTATATTACAGTGTGTCGTATGTTTAACCCGGATTAAGGGATTGCTAAAAGCATATTAAATTTGTTCTCTGCTTCCAAAAGAAAGCACTTGAATTTTGATTTATTGTAACGGAAATAATGAATTTTATAAGGGTCTCAAGTGCTTTCTTCGAGGAACCAAAGAAATCGCAATTCCGTTCGTAATTATTTCTACAAAATAAATTTTCGAAAAACAAAAAACTCGGGCCTTTTTACAAATTCAGTCATCTCTTTTGCAAACGTAACACGTTTAGTCGAACTTGTTCCTTACTGATTGCTGTCTCCGATTTTTCTGCCGAGCGAGCTCCAAGCTGAGACTCCTCACAGCTAAGGCCAGCTTGTGCTGTTGATTTACGTCATTTGCGTCGATGAACGGCTGCGGCTCGCCCTCCTGGACCGGTACACCGGCGAACGACTCGCTCAGAGCGCGTTTCAGAAGGGAACCGGCGAATCGCACGACCGCCCGATCTCTCGCGTCCAACTCCCGGTTCTCGTCCGCCACTATCGGATCCTCCAGCCACTTTGACAATTGCTCATAGACCTCCTCCAGCTCGGAACAAAAATCTGTGCACGCGAAAGTTTAGGTTTTCAGTTCGTTTATCCTCGTCGGGGAACAGACGTCGTGCGTAAGCGATCTTTTTCGAATACTCGCCAGAATTGTACTCAGTGCTGAAACTATATTTGCTGCTCGCACTCGTGTCCTTCCTCTGAAACATGGGACCTTGACTCTGCCGGAATCGGCCCAGCCACTTTTGCTCTGCTTCTAAAGACTCTTTTAGGAACTCCTCGTCCACCGTCTCGTCCCGCAAAACGAATCCCCTCGAACCTCCTCTTCTCACCCTACAATTCGGTTACATTCGGTAAAAGTCAATCCAAATAAGTAGTATAACTCTAGTAAATTAAATGCAATAACAATGCATTAAAAATGCATGCAATTATCAAACATATATCGTCTGTATTGTACGGAATGGAAAAATAATTAAACGCGATGACGTCGAGATTTACTAGATATCGCGAAAAAATGACATTTTTATCACAGAAATCTTTGGTTTATTGTAGGTAAAAATATTATCAGAATCTTTCGCTTATCGAAGAAGATTGCTCTCTCATCACTAAATTATATCCTTACATTATAATATTTTTCTCTCGATGAATTCTTTATTAATCTCTTCATGAATTTCGACTCACTTGATGTCTTGATCGCCAACGTGACTACCGCTAACGCTAATACCAACGGCGTAACTGCTCTCGCCGGAGGAGGTGTTCGAGGAAGTAACTCCCGTCGCCGTACTCTCTCGCTTAAGAGCATCTTTCAGTCGTTGCGCGAAAGTTCCTCTTCTCTCGGGCGTATCTAACTGCTCGCTGTAGCATTTGGTCACCTTCTGCTCCTCTTCCTCTGGAAATTGTTCAGTTAATAGAAACGCATTTTCTCTTTTTTATAAATCATCCTAAAATTATTTTACCAGGTTCCTCATCAATGGTCTCTTTAGCGCTATGGAAACTGTCCGTACTCTGACTGTTACAACTGCTGTAGACCGACATCTGACCGAGCTGTCGCGTCACCGGCAGTACCTCGCCGCTAGATCCGAGCACGATAAATCGGTTTCTCCGGTTCGTGCAACTCGCATCCTTGCATACCTTATGAGGACTCGATGGTCTTATCGATTTACCGTTAGGCCTGCTACGTACTTCGGTCGCGTTCTCCAATCTATGGCGCTCGTCGCGCGGGGGCTGCTTGTCTGTCCGGAGAAGAAAACGGAGATCGTAGACGGCAAAAGGCTGGTTTGAGTAAATTACGCGAATTATTACACTTTTCGCGGTCTCTCACCTGTCTTGGAGTTATTGCTCGTCGCGAAAACCTTGTCCTCGCCCTCCGTTTCCGGCGGGGTGCTGCTGAAGCTCTCGCCGATCGGCGACAATCTGCGCGATCCCAGGCCGACCTCCGTCTCCGGTTCGATTTTAATCGGGTCCGTGGGGCTGCTGGGCACGTACCTCTGGCGGAATCCCAGCAGCGACTTGTTCAGCTCTCTCAAAATGTTGTCCTCCTCGAACTGCGTCAACGGCAATCGCGAGTAGTCCTCGGGATCTATGCAGCAGACCGTTACCTGCGCTCGGAAAACTGTACGATTGTTTGCCTTCCCATCGCAGATAGCGTGAAAACCGCGCGAATCCGAGATCCCGCACTTCACTCACCACGTTCGGCTTCGAGATACCCTCGAATATCGCCTTGTGACGCGGATCGTTTATCCTCGACATATGCCTGACACCCTCGATTATCAGTACTTCGTTGTCTTCTAAGGCCTCGACAGATAGCATCGCGGCGAGCATCTCCGGATGCGTCGCTACCTGTAAAAAGATTCGATTTTGCAATCTATTTCAGTTTGATACATGTACACAGGTTGAGTTTTAATAAATATGTATCAATATGTTAAAGAATAATTCCGGAACTTAAACAAGGAAGTGTTAATTCCAAGACAGGTAAAAAATGCAAGGTGATTTGTAATCTGTGTAATTTTTTTTAATTAATTATTTGACGTCTATGATCTTTATGATATCGTATGAATAGATTTAGAATTTATTTTGAAAGAGAGAGAGAGAGAGAGAGAGAGAGAGAATTGACCGAAAGAAAACTTCAAAAATGTTCTCTAATTTATTTTTATTAAAAATTATAAAATAAAGCCTAACGATTTATGTTCGTGTGATATCTTTTTCTTCTAAACTCCAGATTTATCTCAAGCATTGATATATGTACGATTAAGAATCTTTTTGATATAAGACGATTATAATTAGTTACATGTACAGTCTCCTGCGTGATATCGCCATCGAGCACGCCGCCACCGATTTTAGCATTCGCGAAACAAACTTGCAGTACTTTTGATTCCGACTCGACTCTTTCCAACCGTCCCTCGTGACGTATCGTCAGCGGACATAGGGGTACGTTACTTTCCAGCCAATCTTCAATAGTCAACCACTGCTTAGACGTCATCACCTGCGAATTGCATTAAAAGTTTCGTATTTTGCACTTTGTTAAAAAAGAGAGAAGATTCAGAAGATTAACGACGAATTCGGTATCCGAAGTAAAGATTTGAAAAAATCGTGTACCTGTCTAGAAATTATTAAACGTCCGTCGAGTGTGTGCTCCGTCTCGAGATAATTGTAGTAATGAAAGATACTTCTGAGTTTGGCTTTCTGTGCGTTTCTGGAAAATGGTAAAGTGTTTGAAAAGTCATTTTTTTTCCCTTTTCTTAAACTTAAAACGCTTAACATAGATTTCTCCACGACGATGTAGTAAGTCCGCTCGTAAGTCACTCACTTGTGGAGGTGTCTGAAGAAGTTTGTAAAGTTAAAATCGCGCAACGTAGGATGAGTCTTTGCGGTTCTCTTCGGGTACGTCGAGAAGAACGCGTTCGCGATTAAAGAGGAGACGAAGGCATAGCTGTACTCGACGCTGTCACCTGCGCAAAATAAATTGATTTTCGAGTCATTGAAGTGTATACTTGTGTAAACATAAGCTTACAATCTTACAAACTGCGATTTGCGAGACAGTTAGAAATAGTTTAATAGCAAAGTACTTGTTTTACACGATTGATTGTCGGGAATTTCGAAGAATGTCGGATCTCGCGATACCTTGCTGCTGGAGACTGAAGTGTAAACCTTGCGGGGGTTTCGTAGATTTTAAGGCCTTCGCCCTTTCCACCATTCGCGGTATTGTCTTCGTGAACACTTGCTCGCGTTCCGCGAGATCGAGATCATTGTCTAGGAAGGTTCCCAACTTGGAGAATAGGTCGGTGTCCTGCACGTCTTCCTCGGGGTCGAGACTTATGCTGTACGAAACAAGTGCACGGCAAGTTTCAATACGTCGTGAGAAGCAGTTATAAATTTCGCGAAGCAGTTATAAATTATTATTTATCGCGCACAATGCTATATAATTGATTGCTTGTCAATCCATCTTACATATGTTGCATTTATTGCAGAATGCAATTTAACTTGGAGAGAAGCAAATATATTAAATATAAAAATAACAGACGGCTTGCGCGTTAGGCAACAAGTGTAAAGTAAAGTGACGCGAGTCGTACTTGCACATGTCATGCAGTCGTTGCATCGCGTCTATTAGGTCTTCGGAGCTTTTGGCCGAGGCGGCCTTGTCCAGCTGCTTCACGACAGCCGGCCACCAAGGCAGGTCACACGGTAGCATTACCAGAGCCATTGTGGATCTGCGAGGCACAGAAAAAAATAATCGGAATGTACAATGCACAATTTAAGCAGAATGACCGCGCGGGGCTCAACTCGGTCAGATCGGTAACAGCCCTCGTCAGATTGACGTGTCGAACGGATCTTTCGGAGGCTAGTACAATATGCAATTTTTCATGCATTCGGCGAGACGGTATACTTTGGAAACGCGCTGATCGATTTCGATTTACAGTCGTGGCGTGATATGTCAAAGCTGTGCGTGATGGACGCGCCGAAGTAGCGCGATCGTAAAATAAAGCCGGCCGGGAAAGTTAATCGGTCCCCTCCCTACTCATAAATCTCCCGTCCCATAATCGTCCGATTGCATTTACATATGCGATTACGATCACAGATTTATTTACCGATTGATCTACAATTTCCTTGCGATTATACGATTCAAATTGAATACAAGCCGAAGCTTAATCAATAACTAAGTATTCATGCTGAAAACTATTGTCATTGAATCTCTGTACTTTTAAAACCTCCGGTTATTAATTTCGCGATCTCGCGACGCTTAAATTTTAGCTATTGAAGCTTTCGACGTCTGAATAGCTTTTGGATCTTAAATTCTGAGTTCCTGGGAAATCTAAAATTCCAGCGCACAGCTTCCAGATGCTAAGGTCTTAAACCTTGAATAGGTCTCGACTTTTTTTTTAAATATTGACCCTTCAGAGTTTTTTAAACGTCCAGCAGACTGGTAAAAGATCGCGGATTCTCTCGCGCTGGCGGCGGTTATTTTGCGAGATCTTATCCCGCGTGTCTAAAGCGTCATCATTTGTATTCCCTCTCGAGGAAAACGCCTGGTCGCGCACGCAGGCGCAGGCCGGAGGGTTGGCTGGTTAGTAACCTCGTCCCACGAGGCGAATATAATTAGTTTCTCTTTCACCGGGGAGGGAATTCACCGGCCGTCGACGGGACGGGAGACGTTACAACGACGAGAGCGTACGACGCGCGACGGCCGCCACCGCGGACCTCCAGAGCGCCGATCTCCGTTTACATAATCACCTCTTTTGTCCCTCGCGGCCTACGTCGAAACAGCTGACGCGTATAAACGGGTCTCACGTCTTGCGTCCCGTCGTCGCGACGACGTCGTACACCGACGGCGACGATCCCGGCGTCCTGATCGTACCCGCGAGACGCCGGCACATAGTCGAATGGGGAAAGGGGCCGCACGACGGACTCTCGCGTTTCTCGCTACCGCTGCGACCAAAATCAACCCCCGCGAATTCGGCACGGGGTATATTCCCGCGTCCCTTCCGCTTGATGTGCTCCGGAGTTACGCGGTCAACCCTCCGAAACTTTCAAGCAGCAAACTCTACAACTCTTCGGAGTCGATCTTTGGAGTCTGATGTCTCTCCTATAGGCCTGTTCCTTCGCCTCGCTCTTTGACTCACAGCCGGTCGAAGCTTTTTCAGATTCGGGACGTTTGAGGGTGGTCTTTCTTTTTGAGAAATCTGAAGACCCGGAGTACGCGAGCGTGTCGCACCCTTCCCCGCCGGCTCGATTGATCGTCGTCGCGGCGGCCGCAGCGGAGCCGGAGCCGGAAACCGGAGCCGGAGCTGAAGGGCCGCGCGAGTAGCGAACCGTTACTACTGCGGTCGGCACTACTATCCGTTACTACTGTCGTCGCGGCGCTCGCCGTCCGTAACCACTGCCTCGCATCCCCCTCGCGTACTCCCTACGCTCGTCCCGTCTCTGTCACTACTTTAACCGTTGCGAGCGGCGGTCAGCGTCGCACCCGCTATTTATAGAAAACGGCGCCGGCGCTCTGCCAAACTCTATATAGACGCGATATGGTGTCAAAAATTGACCAAGTTACCCTGGTCAGATCAACAAGATAAAAGGCGCGCGTCAATCATGTGCATGTTTTTCCGAAAAAGAAACATGATTTTATTGAATTTTATTCGACGGTCTGTTAAATGTAAAGCTTTTTTTATTCTTTTCCAGGATGAGTCAAAACTTTTTTCAGACATGAAAACTTGAGACAATTTTTTTTTAATATAGAATTATTATACGATTGGTCTTATAGCGTATCTTATAGTCTGGCAATTGGTCTGACACTTTAGCGATCTAAATTAAATAGTAGAATGATTTTTTTCGAAACATGATAGTCTTAAATATACCAACAACCTTGACAGGAAAAGAGACAATATCTGTTTGTCTCTTTATCTCTCTTTTTCTCTTTCTTCGCAGCAGATTAATTTTTCTAAAATAAATCTCTTTGTCGAACAAATTCTCATGGATTTAAAAGTTCTTTCGAGCAATTCTTTCGGGATTTATTAGCAAAGCAGAACCATGTCAGTACGCACTTTTGCTTCAAAGTTGGAGTTCGTGAAAGAGCATAGTATCTATCTATAGGATGTCCCGTAAGTTGCGTACTCCATTCAATTAAGAGCTCTTAGACTACCAAAGTATCGATGTAGAAGACTACTGCTGTACCGATGGTAGGTGTTAACTCGACACTTGGAGCGTATGAATAAATCAAAGCGCGATACTTGCTATATCTCTTTATTTCTTAATTTCGGAGCGAAACACTTTTGCATTATTATTCGGGAAACGATACAAAACGCTATACTTTTTTCAGCACCAATCAATCTCCAACAGAGATACGTCAGACACGTTGACTTGGCGAGAAAAGCTAGTAATCTGATATGAAGCTAACAGTGGCAATTTAAACTATTGGCAGTCCGCCATTAGCAAACCTTGTACCAGATTTACTCAACGTTTACTCATAACTATTTATACGTTGCACGCTTGTACACAATCTGTTTTGTCTTCAATATATTATGTCGATTTACCGACAAGCTATTGAACTGCTGCACTATGTATATGTACAATTGCATTTATAATAATTATAATGCTTAAGTACGAAGATTGTACTTATATGAGCTAAACTTTTAAAAGCCAAAACCGATCAATTACATTTTTATAAATCTCTCAATTTTTACCCTTAATTTTAAAGCACATGATTTGTCTGCAATAACTTCATCAATTTTCTTTACTCTTTATTTTATGGAGTTAATTAGTTTGATTTTTGAGAGAGATTCATATACACATAATACTGCCTTAAATTACCCGGCATTACCCGGGATTATCACAAAGTGTCAAGGAAATGATATCAAGAGAAGAGGATGGAGTGTCTAGGTTTCACGGTAGCTTATATTTTCCGCGGAGGTCTAGAGAGTAATTATGCAAATTTTGGTCCAGATCGATCAAAAGGTTTAGGAGTTAATAGAAAACAGACATTCTAGTTTACATGTATAGTATAACACAATATATATACACACAGTGGTACAGTATACATGTTATGCGTATAAATATTACAATGCAGTAGAATGAGTAGAGCAGTTCAGCAGTTCTACACAACCGCGCCGCAGTTTCCAATAATCGCGGTATCGTAACTACGATATCGCAACATGATATCGTAATTTCCTACGAATCGCCGTTTTGTAATATTTAATGCCATGCATTGTGTCCCGCCACTGTGTGCACGGCACAAAGGCGAATAAATTAGAGCGTTTCGAAATGCGACGCGGTAGTGGGCTGAGCATTTGGTGCGCTCATACGCGCGGAGATATCAACGCCCGATCGAGAGAGATCTCGCCTAATTCGCATAATTGGAATTGAAGTCTCCGCCGCTACACGTCATCGCGTGAAACCCACTCGAAGGGGGGCACTGCACGTTCTTCTCTGTCGTATTTTCATATTACATCGTATATTCTTGCGATTTATTACTCGCTTTTCAAACATCGAAGATGATTAAGAGAATGAGGAAAGTGATGCAGGAAAGGACGCATCCGAAGTCGTGAAACTTCTTTACTTTTTCAACGAGGAAAAAAATATTAAGGGAATACTCATTGCTTCATGAAAACATACGTTTATTTGATTAGGAGTCATTGCGTTTGATCTCGCACTCGAGATAGAAATTCGTTAGAACATTGTCAATCTTTATTCAATTAAATAAGCGTTGTAAATCAATAAGGTGTTGCGCTGCGCTATTATGGTCGTGCTAAGAGATCTCCTTCGATTAGAATTGCCCTGACGTCACAGACGCGCCGGATAGGGTATGAAATGCGCAAGCCTAAACACCGACATTCATTAATACGTCGTTCGCAGGTGCGGAGAAATTCGCCTGTTCGTATGCAGCACAGACGATTATGGTTCCGACAGGTGCCACCACCTCGCGGAACCGTTCGCTCGCTTCCGCCGCCTAGAACTCAGGAAAGTATTATATTGCGCACGGAACTTGCGGAATCTAAATTACGTATACTTAGGTACAGCAAGGAAAAAAATATAGTCGCGTGCGAAAGAAACGTAGTCACGCAGCAAGTGCAGGAAAAAAGTCATTTGTCTATTTTAATTTAAATATAGATCGGAAATTACATTTATTCCCCACGTCATCTTATCTTCCACGAATAAGATCGATAGGACAAGCATCCGTGAAGTACAAAATTACTTTTGCAAAGAACTTGGGCAATAGTCGGCGAACTTAGTCGGTGCTTTTGAAATTTTGAAAAACCTCAGACTTTTTCTCATCGATCGCGAGACGATCATCGATTGCGCGCGATTGTCGGTTATCGTCGACCTCGGCGAGTCTCTCGTGATTTTTTCAGATTTTAGTCGAGTAAGAAATTAGTGTAATCTAACATTTAAAAAATGTTGAATTTTTCGTCTTTCAACTATAGGAGCGTTTGACAACGCGACGTCGGCGCCATGTTGTCCGCCGCTACGGTCCTGCTCCCATTACAATCGCGCGGACCCCACGGTCCCACAACGGTGCGATTGTATCGGAGAACGCGCCGGGGAACGCGAGAGGAAGGGGTCTCCATGTCGGTTCAGTGAGCTCACGCACGTCGAACACTCATCAACGCACGGGCACCGCGGCGGTACGTCCAAAAATGGCGTTCCTCGTGTAGCGCAGCTCGTCGTCGACGCCGAAGTCCGTCGCCGACGTTCGCAAAACGTCGTCGCGAGCCGCTCGTCGAACGACCTGGTGGAGCCGCGAGACGCCAGTCCGTGGAGAAGCCAACGTAAATATATACCAGTTTCGCATACCGTGCGCGTTCCTATACGTCCTGCGTGCGCGCGGTTACGTGGGCGGGTGGATGCGTGTACGTGTGCGTGCGTGTAATTTCCGTTGCGATACGCGATATGCGATATGCGACGACGAGTATCCTCCGGATGAGCGCGACGTCGTGGAGTTCTACGTCGCTCCGACAGAGCGGATAGACTGACGAATAGGGGGACTCCGTTTATCAGAATATTAGCTTCTGACAAGGTGCTCGAACGATAAACTTGCCCGGAGTAATCGAATGAAGAATTTGTCGTCGCTATCAATTAGAGTCATACCGAGTTGAACGTTTTAATCTTGACAAACTCGGAAGGACAGTCGAGAGTAAAACTGGCGATAGCGAGGGCCCTTGAAATGAAGAGCTCTCTGGCTCGAAGATTTCCAAAATCTACGATCTGAATTTTACGATAATAGAGCCTTGAGTAGGATTAATGCTACCTGAAGATCCACAAGCTCTAATTCGTGAGAAAATTTCTGAAACTTTTAAGATAAGCTTCTGAGATAAGCTTATCTTAAGCGTATATAATCAAGAATCCATGATACGAAAGATATGTGAACTTGGCAACTCATAAAACAAGTATTCCTAAATCAAGAATCTATGGACTTGGAGTCGATGATCAATTACGATTTCAAAGATCTATAAAATCTAGGATAGAATCAAGAATCTTGCATAAGAAAAGTCTGAAAATGTCGATCTCTATAAAAAAAAATTACTACTTTGCAATCATAATTCTAGAATCCTACATATGACAAATTTTCAGTAATTCGTAGAATCAAAATCTATCGATCAAATGCTTAAGATATTGGAAATCTAAAAATACGAAATAAAAGAATCATAAATTCACGGCTCGCGATCCACATCGAAAATCTATGTTAATATTCTTATCTTTAATACTCTTCTTTAATATTCGTTCTTGAGCGAAGCAAGATCCCGATAAATGGAGTTCCACTGGTACTGCACGCAGCCTCTTCGATTTCGACCGGTCGATTGCATAACCGCCTTAGCGTGCGAAACGCCTGACAACGATCTTCTGTCGAGCTAATGAATGGAACGTTTAGAACGCCTAGATCGATTGATCTACGCCAATTTTTCAGCGCGGCGTTCTCTCGAGCGACATGAATGACGGACGAGATACGCTCGTGAGTGCGTGCAGCGTGCGTGCGTGCGTGGTGAATAAAAGAATTTGAGAGTGCGGTGAAAGTCGTTGCACATCGGGGTGTATCGCTTAGTGAATTTGATTCACGAGTGTCGTTCACGTGCGGATGCGCGAGAGCGATCCTTGTTTGATTTCGCCTGCTGACACGTTCTAATAAACGAGGCGAAGCGAGATCATTTTCGCTTTGTCTGTCCCGCGCGATATCGTATATACGGATACATTTAAAAAGCATAACGACGATTCTCATTAACAAACTCAATTCTCTCACGACGCTCTTTGTTACGTCTCAATTACGCCTCCCTTTTCAATCACGGTTATCGAGTCACGCGATCTTCGGACGAACGATTTGCTGCACTTCGCGGGCTGTTATATAACACACGCAAAAACGTCGGCGGGGGGGGGGAGTTAATTAACGCCTGGACTTTTAGCGGCTTATTTGCGCCGTCAATTGCACCCGCGAAATCGAGAAGAGCCGTTGTTAATCATTCGCAACGCTCGCACGCCGAAGTCTGCGCTGCCCACCGTAGATTTTTACGCACTTACGCAAGCGTCACCGGTCAGACGAGCTTTTGAGACAACAATGATGTCATGCCGCGATGAAACAGCTCGCCGCTGTGGTGCACGGATTACGCATAAACAGAAAATATACACGACGCGCGCATATATATATGGAAATTTTTATATTCGCGAGCACATCGGGATATTATCGAGGCAATTTCACATTTTTTATGGCGAAATTCTCACGACGCTTTCAAGAGGTTGCAAGCGAAATCAGAAATGTTAAGAACTGCATAAAATTCAAAACATATAAGGTCTTTTATCAATAATACCAGCGTGGGAATTTTTTGGGGTTTTTTTCAAAGGTTATTTTTGGAGAACATTTTTTATTGATAATTGATATGCATCATCGATTCTCCCATTAGAACCCATTAAAAAATCTTGTACTTTGATTATTATAAATGTTGTCAAAAATTAATCGGTGAAAAGATCTAAAAAAAATTCACATGCCGACATTATTTATAAAACTGTTTATGTTTTAAATTCTATGCAATTCTTAACATTTCTGATTCTCCTTACAATAACTTCCTTATCGCGGTTAAGCGTTGAGACATCGCCTGACTCGAACGACGCCGGAAGCACGGATTAGCCTCAGAAACGAAACCCGGCTCTTCGATAGCATCTGAACTCGAATCGCGTTGCGTTTCTTGCGGCAAAAGTAGACTGCTGCAACCTAAATTTTAACGTTAATAAAATAAAAACCTTTTCACCATTATCTGATGCACGAGCATTAGAGCGCCGAGCGAGCCGTTCCAAAAAGCCGTCGCAATTAGCGGATTTCCCGACAATGCCTTGGCGTTTCGCCGATTTTCTTCTAACATCTGCAGCGCAAGTGGGCCATCGCGCGACTCCGAAATGCATTGCTAAACATTTTCTTATCATTTAGTTCACGCAGCGCCCCGGTATCTCGCGTGCCGGCATCTCGTCGTAATTGGCGAATTCCGTTTCAACGCTTTCTTACGCCGTTTCTCCGTTTGACCCGCGATTCAAGCGACTCGCGCCACCGAATTAGTGCGAATAAGATTAAAAAGGTGAAGAAACCGCGGCGGGCGACGAGTTTTCGTCGAGGACAGACACGCGGAAATAGATTACGCGTGGACAGGTATATTCGCGACGAAATGCCGGCTCGCAGGTGTATGCATCGGCACTTTCACCGTGCGAAATTCTCTTCTGGATCTTCCTCGTTGCACCGCACAATGCACGATCGTCGCCGGTTTTTCCGTCGTCGCGGTTAAATTGTGTTCCTCGTAATGGGGCGACCTCAAAGGTCACAGGCCGCTCAATGCGAAACACGCTCGAGCATTTCGCACGAGCAATTAAACATTTCGCAATTTATTGCTTCGGTACTTCGGTACGTACCACGGTTTTGCTCGCGCGGCGCTCGCTTAATCGAAACGATTAATTATAACCTGTAGCGATAAAAAACGCGAGGTATATTCGTAAACATTTTGTGCAATCATAATCGACGGATTCTCTCCTTCGGGACAACTTTATTTTGTCTTGACTCGAGATTAAAACGCCGAGATATTTAATATTAAAGAATTTCAAACTTAATGAAGAATCTGTCGATAAAATTGAGATAGTCCGCGTACAGACGCGTCTCATTACACGAATATAAATAATTGTAAAAATGCCTCCATAAATAACTTTCTTTCTCGGATGACCCGATTAAGTTTTTAATCGAAGAGGAAAGCGAAGCAAGGCGTAGAGTTATCGAATTTTATACGATCGGCAAGCGGTGTACGAGTTCGACAGGTATATAAGTATATAAGATCAATCACGTGACAGGAATCCGAGAATGCAATCGACCGAGCAGCTGCGACCGGAGCAGCTGGTGGGCCTGGTGGCCCGGTCGGCCGAGGGTACGGCCGCCAAGGGGATGCCGATCAAGGGCCACGAGGACCTCTGGGTGGAGATTCAGGCCAACACCTTTCGGAACTGGGTGAACGAGCACCTGAAGCACGCCGGCGACGTGGGCGGCGGCCCCGTGCTGGACCTCGCCGAGGACTTCCGGGACGGTACGCGTCTTTGCGCCCTGGTCGAGGTGCTGACGAAACGCCGGCTGCCGCGATGGAACCCGCGACCGGCGAACCAGCACCATCACCTGGAGAACGTGTCCACGGCGCTGCAAGCCATCGAGGCCGACGGCGTCAAGCTCGTCAATATCGGTAAGCAAAAACACATACAATTGATTTCTATCGGAAATATTGTAGAATCGTGTGTTAGAATACAAAGTGAGCGCAGTGAACCGCGACTTGAAACAAAAAGTCGTATCATAATTTTATCATTAGCGACGGAATTTTTTTCAACATTGAGCATGTATAAAAAAATATAGAACGCTTTTAGCACATCGCGATTATAGGAAGATCAGCTAATGTATTGGATGTGTAAACTTTCAATATAGGCTTCATGGTGATAATTATATGTAAGAATGTTATTATACAATCAAATTTATTGTAATCTATAATTTGCATTGAATAATTCGATTTAAACAATGTCGGTCTATATTTTCGCTTGCTGCCTGATGTTTCATCGTATTTCGTTACTGTGAGGTCAGTTTTCGAGATTACGGAGAAATTGCCGCCGCGCCGCTCGAACCTTCGCATTTTTTCGATTCGCAATGTATAGGCAAAATACCGTGTTTTATACAGATTGACGAGAAGGGTACCCTATAATGCGAGGCGAAGGCCGTCTGTCCACGGTCGCGCGAAACCGTCAAGGCGTTGCACGCGCTCAGCGTCCAATTACGCTCCGTAATTGGAACGACGTTATGACTTGCGTCTACCATGTATCCTGAAATATTCAGTTCGTCGTAACTCGCACAAAAATGCGTAGAAATCGATTTAGGCTTCTACCAGTTTGGCCAGACTGTTTTACCGCTTTTTAATTACTTCATATATGGATATAAATGCTCACGAAAGAGAATTAGGACGGTCGTGTTTTAAGTTTTTTCTACAACGCGCGTTTCTCACAGCAACGTTACGCTCGACGATTATTTTATCGTGCCGAGGGCAATATCAATAAAGCTGATTGGGTTTTTTATTGATAAAGTGGGTTTCAGGAGAGAGGAAGAGAGACATATATTTTTTTCACCCTAAGCCGCTTAGTCAGTGATATTTCTGCGTGATATTTAAATGACCATGTTTTGCATATTCTTTGATCATGATACCTGAGTACGAACGATTGTATATGTTCTCCTATTCTCTCTATTTAATCTCTTTTAAGATTAATATCGATACGCTGCATCTCGCAACTTGTTGAGCGCTACAATGGAAGATATATTTTTTCACACTAAACCATGTTGTTGATCCAAGAGTGACATTTAAATAAGAATTTTAAATGATACTTATTCGATTATAAGTATAATCTTTCCACTTCTTGTCTTCTCCTAATCTGCTTTATCTTTTTTGGTTAATATCGATACGATATGCTGTGTCTCGCAACTCGCAACTCGTTCGCCAACGGGAGATATAATAAGCCACGTGGGTGAAGCCCCCCCGTGTTCGTTAACTCTCTCCCGTCGTAGCGTGCCGAGGTGCGGGAAAGAGGCGCGCGTGCACGCGTGAGACGCGTTATTAATAATGATATGCAATCAAAGTACGAGGGAGCCGCCACGACGCATTCCACAGGTAATGAGCAATCGCTGGAAATGTGCGTCTTCCTCCTCTCGCCGAGAGAGAGAAAGAGAGAGACCGCGCGAAATATATTTATCATGCCTCCCCGATCCGTTCCGTACGCGCTAACCATGTACAATCTTTTCTCGTCCGTGCGTAATACTTTTGAAAAATAGCTCCCTTAAAATATCGTTCGCTCCTGATTGCGCACGTACGAGCAAATTGCCGCGGCGGCGATCGCGTCGAACGTAAGGGTACCAGGTACGTAATCTCGCTGCGATGTTCTCTCAGTTTAATCCGACTTCCTCGAATTCTCTTCTCCGCGATTTTTACTATTCTCGCAAATCCCTCGAATTAATCTCTGCTTTCTCGGATCTTCTTCTCGAGCTGCTCATGTCAAGGTATACGCCTTGGAATGTAATATACTATTCGGCATAGCGCTTGATCAAAGTCATTACGGATTAATTGCATTTTTATTTCCGACAATAAAAGTTTCGCCGACTTTTACTTCGTGGGATCGAACGCAGAATGCGAAAACGCGAGCTGGGCGAAAGGATGATTTTCCTACTCGGAAGTATCGGCGGCGATCCGGACCATTACCTGCCACACGCCACGGCGGGTAATACGTTTTCCTCGGACCACAGTGTAACAATAATAAAAGCGCGCAGCGCCGGCCGGCCTGCCGATGAGTCAGCACACAACGACGGGAGACGTAATCGTTTCGAATATGCGGGTCATCGTTGAGCAAGCTGTCTTTCAGCGATGCCCGGAGGTCTGCATTTCTGCAGCGGTGCTTTTAATCTCGCGCATGACGCCGCGAAACGCGACATCGTCGCGTCGCAGCGAAGGTTTAATCCTCAATCGTTCATTGTGATGAGATCTTTTTTTTTCCCAACGAGCTGACGAAGGTGTGGTCGCGATGAGAACTTCTCATTAAATTTAATATTCTTTCGAAAATTCGAGCCGAAAATTCGGACGCTGGCGTGTTCACCGCGGCGTCGCAAACTGCAGCGTGCCGTTTGCAGATGGTCTCTTATTTCGCGTCACACCTTCACAAATCGGAGCTTCGAGGTCGTTGCCTTTCCCGCATCGCGCCGCCGGTGCCTACGAGGCCGCGAAAAAACCGCGGTCGCGATCGTCGTCATCGTCGTTGTCGTGCGTGCATTGCACGGCTATTACTTACCGCGCGATTCAGTTCGCGATGGTGTGCAAGCGATAACCTGACAAGATCTCACGAGACAAGATGAGAGCACGTTTATCTCGCGCTTAGAAGCGAAAGATGACCGAATTGGAATGACACATAATGAACGCGAGCGCGCCTCTGATCTTATCTTAATTATTGCATTTGCGTTGTTTCCATCGTGTAACGTCATCGTCGCGGATCTAAAAATTCCTGTGATAAGGGATAAAGACGAATTAAAAGATCTCTCTTTGAAATCGAGATTATTATTAAAGTTAAATTATTGAAGATAAGTTCAGGGGCGTCAGTTATTTAGGAGAATTTAACTGTAATAGTGAATAAATGAATGTATATTTACATAAGACCACAGATTCTCGCAAGATGAATATCGTATTTCACAGGTCTATGAAGTTAAAAATCTGCAATGATATAAAGATCTTCTGAAGAGTCAGTGGAATCTATGAAAAAATCTCTTGTTGAGATTGTTAAAACTTAAAACGTACGTATAGGTTCCACGCATGGTTACGTCAGCGTTTGATATGAACGTCAATCAATGTAAATTGTAATCACAGAGAATCAAATCCTCGAACTTGTTCTCCAAAGTCATCGTAAATCTTTCTTCCGCAATTACGACTGCGGAATGATGCCGCGTGAACATCACGCACACGTGCTTTCTCCTTCTCTCTCTTTCTCTCCCTAGCGTCTCTCCTTCTCTCTTTCGCGGTTCCCCGAATTAAATCGCTTCTCCGTGCGTGCCGGAGAACAGACCGTTCTTTCCAGATACAAGCGAAGAAATTCAGGCCGACGATAAATCAAATTGATTTTCTTCCACTTGACGGTTTACCGCTCCGGCATCGTGCGCCCGGCGCACGGCGTAAAACTCCGCTAAACAAGCCGCTAAAGCTCCGATTTCCCCGGGTTTTCCAGGTAACGTGGACATCGTGAACGGCAATCTGAAGCTGATCCTGGGCCTGATATGGTCGCTCATCGTGCGGTATCAAATAGGCAAGTCCAAGTTCCCGCCGAGGAAACTCATGCTCGCATGGCTCAAGGTCAGTATACGCGATATAATTGCATCGAGCGCGACCTCGGCTCGCATCGCGCGCGCGGCCGTAAACCAAATGCAGAAGCTATTACTTTACCACGGGCCCGATCCTTTCCGACGACGGGTCCAACGCATGTATCGCATTACGCGAGAACGTGTTTCCGTTACGAAAGAGTTCAGAGCTTCACACCGATTGCATACGTTACGCGTATCGCGTGCGTTATTAATATATACATATATACATGCGTATGCACACGCGTTGTGATTTATACGCGCGCGTCTGACCCTTGGATACCTCGCGTATCGCGGTCGTCGTATTTAATTGCTCGCTAATAACCGTGGATAGAAATATATGTGTATATGACACTCGTAATTTCTGAGAGCGACTCCGTTTTCAGGCTGTCCTGCCGGAATGCAGGGTCAATAATTTCACGACCGACTGGAACTCCGGCGTGTATCTGAGCGCGCTTTTGGATTACTGCAAGCCCGGCCTGTTCACCCATTGGCGCCAGCTCGATCCGAATGATAGGTAAACTAAATGAAATAAAATCATCACTGAAAGATATTAAAAAAAAAAACTAAATTATGCCTTAATGTATTATACAGTTGACAGTCAAAAAGTTATTCAACGTTGAAGGAAAAAGAGAGATTTTGAAAAATAAAGTAAATTCTCAGATTTAATATTGAATTTTTATTAGGAAATTGTTGTAGTATTTATGACTGAAAGAATATGCAATTATTTTAGAATAGCTTGTTCATGTCAGAATAATACAATCTTGCATATTGGTTCTTGAATTTGTGGGAGGAAAACTGTGGTCGCCATGAAAATATAATATCATTTTGCGCAATCTTATATCGTGTATTATTATTTGAATATTGATTTAATTTGCAGTGTTTACAACTGTCGCAAAGCAATGGAGATCTCGAAGCGGGAATTCGATATCCCCATGGTGCTGGAGCCGGACTACCTGGCGTCGCCGTACCTGGACGAGCTCTCGGGGATGACCTACTTGTCGTACTTTATGAAGGAAGGCTCGCCAGGCTTCCACGCAACGCTACGATGGGTCAATTCGCAATTATCACACACCTCAATACGGAACTTCACGGTGGGTGGAGACGAGGCGTCCCGGTAACAGTACCTCGGTATAATAATATCTCACAGTGATATTCAATTATCCTGCTTTCACAGACGGACTGGAACGACGGTCGAGCACTTTGCGGTATCGTCAGAAATCTGGGTGGCCCGGCGCCACCCTACGAAAAACTCGACACCGACCCCTCCGCGTGGGAGCATAATTTGCAAATGGGTAAGAACTCCACAAGTTGGTTCTCCAGCGTTTCGCTTATATTAAATAAGAATAATATAAATGTTTCATAAATTTATCAATTTTACAAAAACCGTATATCTGTACCTCAGAAGTAAAGAATCGTATCTCCAGTTTTTGTCAAAATGTATTTTTCCCAATAGGAAAAATACTAAGAGCTTACTAAATTGTATAATGGTAAAGAGTCTCTATGTCTATTATTACATTTTAGTTCCTAAGATATAATGTTTAGAAAAAGTCGTATTAGAAATTCCATAGAAATAATAAACTTTGAACCCTGTTTTCTCTAAATTTTATAATAATGAAGATAAGATTCTTTATCTCTCTAAGGTACAGATATATATTCTGATATAAATTTTACATTGTTTGATTATACCAGAAAATATATTTATCGGTGATATATTACAACTTGATATGTAGATTGTAATAGATTGTCTGTGGTATAAAGTTAAACAGATTTTATACTGTAAGAATAAACTCTTAAGAAAGAGTAACAGTCCTTTGACAAAATTTACCTACAATGAATCAAATGACTCGTGTTCTCTGTAAGGCATCGACGGCGGCAAGAAGCTGGGCGTGGAGCCGATCCTGAAAGCAAAGGACATGGCAGACCAGAATGTAGAGCATTTAGGTGTAATGGCATACGCGGCGTACTTTCAGTGGGTGAAGCCTCGCCCTCAAGCGAGTCAACAGATTGCCGTGCACGTCGACAGCACATCCGCCCGAGTGCAACAGCCGGTTGGTTAAGTCATTGTTTGTTAATTACTCCGCTTGCTAATCGGCGTTGACGAATTTTCACCGTCGCGTCGCAGTTCCTTCCTCGGTCCTTACTCGAGAAATCCTTGCTCGCTCAGCGGAGTTGTACTTACATCTTGAAGCTTCAGTTACTTTGGTGGTAAATAAATCCTATGCAATCCGGTCGCAGGCACATTTCAAGCTGGAGATGCTCACCAAAGATGTAAACGCGAGGGAGGTACGCGGCGAGATCATCAGTCCTAGCGGACGCGTGGAGTGCAGGCTCACGTGGAACGGAGTTCATGGCAAAGGTACCTTCGTACCTACAGAAGTGGGCATGCACAAGGTTCGTTAAAAGAATAACGTAATTATAAAATATTGTACATTTCAAAACAGAAGATCCTTGCTTGATCATACAATTTTAAGACACTTGGGCCCTTGATTTTCGGATCCGCGGTTCTTTAAAATCTTAATTACTTAGTCCATGGATTTTTTCTCACGCTTAAAGAAAGTTTCCTTAAGAAGTTTTAAACAAATATATGAAAGTTAAATACTATTATGCTTTCAATTTTCTTTATAAATTTGCGAAAATTAAACTAGCTATTTTCTATGTTTCTCAACTTCGTTTCTTGTATTTCAGCTGATGGTATACAACGATGGCGAGCTGGTGAACGGGTGTCCTTATTACTTCAGGGTTTTGCCGCCTTTAACGAAAATCAAATCCCCGGGCATGGATCCTTGCGCCATAGGATCTATCGTCGAGGTTCTAGTCAACAGTTACGGTACGTGTTTTTGGCGATACGAAAGAATCTGTTTTTCGACGAACAAAGTCAAAATATTGGAATTCTGCGTTTAGGAACTAGTCATGACGGTATCGACGTGACCGCGTGGTCTCCGACCGGAAGATCGCTGCCGTGTCCCGTCAAGGAAAACGACGGCGTACATACGGCGACCTTTCAACCCGACGAGACGGGAGAGTGGAGTATCGCGATAACGCACAAGGGAAATCACATACAAGGCGGTCCCTTTACTTGCTTCGTGTTTGATCCTAATGGAATCAAGGTGAGATTATCACGCATTTGTTATTAGCATTTTGTAAGTATAGAGACGCGTTTTTTACCTACATCCGCCAATTTGTATATCTGGGACGCAATATTCAATCATGTAATCAATTCTTTATTAATAATTCATAAGCAGAACCAGTTTACATGTTGCCATCGTTATTTGTGATAGTTATATTTCTCATATCAAAAAATATGGTTGGAATTCGTAAAGTAGAATTAACTGCGTGAAAATTTTACGTGAAAATTTTCTTTAATACAGCGAATGTACTTCAATGTATAAAATCGCAATTTATATTAGTTCCCATTTTTATTATAATCATTAGAATAATTCGGAAATAAATTAACAAGCTTCTATGAAATGATTTAATCATAGCTCTTGGACACCGACGGTGCCATGCCCGGACAACCTTTCTCCTTCATCGTTGATGCGCGGGGAACTGGCGGACTGGGCGACGTTATCATCGACATCGTCCACGACAAGCAATCGGTGCCCTACAGAATAGAGGATTTTGGCCACATGCAGTATCGGGTGTCCTTCGTGCCTGGCAACGACGGCAAGTACCGAGTGTACGTGTACTTCAACGGCTCGGACGTTCGTGGTTCGCCGTTCTCCATACGCGTGGGAACGCAGAAGGGCTCCTGCAGGTCGAAGGAGTCCACATCCAGCCTAGAACGGTCCAAGGTGTCGTCCCTGGAACGACGAATGAACGGGCTAAACGTGTCCGCGACGGAACGAAACAGCCCGACTCAGAAGATGTACACCTCGACCGCGTACAAGTCCATCAGTCCGACGCAGCGTGGTTACTCGCCTATTCATCAGACGAGCCCGACCTACAAAATGTCCAGCAACTACGTCACCGAGAACTCCACGACTTATCACAGTACTAACTCGCTGAATCGCACTCGCTCGCCGAATCATATCAATCACAGCCCCGTGCAGAGGAACGTGCAGAGCCCGTCGGTGCTGAAGGAGACGAAGGAGATTTACAGCAGCAGTGCGTACAACCATCGCTCGAGATCGCCGAATCTACAGAGTCCCAGCTTCATCAAAGAGTCCAAGGATATTTATTCGTCTAGCACGCTCAATAAATCGCGATCGCCGGACCTAAGCCCGACCGCTCACCTTATCAAAGAGTCCAGGGACATCTACAACTCGGGATCCCTGAAGAGATCGCGCTCGCCGACCCGCAGTCCGATGACATATCGGAGCGCGACGCAGAGTCCCGTGAATCGTAGTTTCAGCCCGAGGACAGGCGACAAGGACGCGTCGTTCAACAGACGCGGATCTACGGAGAACGGCGTCGTCGACACCAGCAGCAACGTGCGGGTGTCCTCGATGGTGGGTGGCACCTCGAGGCGCGATTCTTGGGACGCGATCGCCAAGACGAAGTCGTTACTGTCGTACGGCAGTCTCGAGTCCCTCGCGAATCTGACGAGCAACTCGCCGACCGCGGAGAACCGCGGCGGCAGCAGCCCAAACGACAACTTCCTGAACAACAATTACAAGAGCGCGCAGAGCTACACCGCCAAGAACGTGTCGTCGCACTCCGCGACGACGAGTTACTCGTCCGTACAGAAATCATCCCCGAGCCCCGACTACGGCGCGGGTCCGAGGTACGACGGTCAGACGGCCACTCGCACGCACGGCATCCTGAAGAACAAGAACAACAACTACTACGGGAAGATCGCGGACGCGACGGACGGCACCGCGACTCACGACAAGTATCTGAACAACGGCGGTGCCGTCTACGTGTCCGCGTTGTCCGGCAAGAGCGGCACGACCGTCGCCACCGGAAGCGCCCTGGAAACATTGCCGGTGCACCGGCCGACCACTTTCAGCGTCAACACCGGCGTGGATCCCAATAAGGTGTCCGTCACCGTTACCGGTAAATCCCGTTGCGACTTTCGACGTTAACGCTGCGTGTCGCGAATGCATGATAAAGTTTGGTCTTACCTCCCCGCAGGTCCCAACGGCAAGACCGTGCCGATACAGAAATCGAAGCTGCGTGGCTTGACGTACACCATCACCGCCGAGGAGGTCGGCGAACACGTCATACAAATTCTGGTGAACGGCCAGCACATCAAGGGATCGCCCTTCAGGTTCGTTGAACGGCGAAGAAGATACTCTTATCTCTCGAAGCAAAATCTAGTTAGGCGTTGTTTTTGGACAATACTAATTAATTACTTTTTACATTTATCATGCGGCCGAGAAGAAACTATAATTTTATTTAAAGCCGAAAAAAACAAAATTAAACTCGGGGATGTCCCTCGTACTCTATTAAATGTTCATCAGAATAAAAAAATTAAAATTTAAGTAAATTATCTACAAGCGAATTGTTTATATAAATTTTAGATCGCAGGCGTATAACGCTCGTGCTATACAGGTTGGGAAGATCCCGAACGGAGTGGTGAACCAGCCGGTAGAATTTGAAAGTACGTATCCGAACTGTCGCAGTCGCGAAACCGTAAGTTCGTCTCCGATAATAAAAGACGGTTTTGTTCGTCAGTTGACGGATCGAGAGCCGGCTCGGGAAACTTGGAGATCCTCGTAAACGGAGGCCATGTCACGAGTTTCGTGAGAGCGCTAGGTAGTCAACGTTTCTTGGCATCGTTTGTGCCGCACGAAGCTGTTACACATCTGGTCGAAATGACGTTCAACGGGGAAGTCATCCCTGGTAAGTCACTCCCGTAACCGAATCTCGAAGCCTTTTAACGAAATTCACAAACGTTTATCTTAAAAAATTGAAATTGAAAAGTTCAAATTTATTTAATGAGGTATTAAGGTACGAATTGTCAAATAATCTTATTTATATCAGTAAGATGTTTATATGTAGTTATTATTTCCTTGAGTTTTCAAAACTTAAATACTGTATTTAAATTAGTGCCTATTAGAAACGAGAGTTTTTTTAAGAGGCTTTGGAAAAGTTATTAGTATTAAAATACTTTTACATTAAAATACTTTTATATTAAAATATAAAATCATTTAGATTAAATATGGCGTGATCCCGGATTTCGAACACTAATGCGAAAATAAGTCTTTTTAACAGTTAGAGCCGTTAGAATATTTATCCCGTTTCGTTCGCATAATATTCCACGCTGTCTCGTGTTCGGTATTTCGCGATCGCTACCTTCGCCGCGAATATCTTAATTTTCACGGTGCGGTTTTTAGCGTGCCTTTCTTTTGTCAAATTCCGACGCGGCGGCCTCGGCGCTTCTCCGCTAGAATAAATTCCTACTGCGTACGCTGCGTACTTACGCACGAACGCACGCACGCACGTGTGCAGTGTGCATGCGTCTGCACGTGCACGTGTGCACGCCGGGCACATGTATCCCCTGGAATGCGTGATAGTCTTTGCCATTAAGGAAGCTGGAATGCATACCCAACGTTGAAATGTTGCTTAAAAGTACGGGTTGCGCAAACGATGATTTAAACCGCGGAGCGGGTCATCGAAAGCCGATATATGTATACGCAAATTAGAGAATTAAGACATAATCGATTCCTCACTCGCGCGAATTAAATTAGCATTTCGTAAGGTGATTCACTCTATGAAAATTTTTACACGCAAAAGATGTTTCGGAAATTACGAAATTTAACATCTCGCGGTTTAACAAACTCTAAATGTAAATAAAAATGCTAGAATTTTTTACATTTCCCACGTTATATATTTTTACTAATATTTTTAATAGTAGTTCATAAGAATTCAATTACAAAACACAGAGCTCGTATTTTTTGTAAAAATATTTATTTACAGTTACAATAATTTTCCTTGTGTGATACATATTCATGTTCGATGGCGTTGAAAAATATTTCTCGGCAGAAGTGATTCATTTATTTTCCACAGCCTTTTGCATACACGATATCTGTTGACACTCAATTATTCTCTTGACTTTACTACAGTATTACGTATATACATAAAGTAGCATTATCAAGCAATATTACATTATTTGACTTACATTTCTTATTTGAAATTGATACACTCAATCGCAATTTTTCTCGATCTCGTATTTATGAAAGAAACGAGGAATGTGCAGCGCATTAAGTTTACATGTAAGCTCATATTCAGGGAAGTGTGTTACGTGCATTCGCTAAATAGCACACCGTTGGCGTTGGCACAAATCCACCTTGAGTTCCGTCATGCTTCGCCACATCAACTATATAAAGTAATTCTCTTCTCTCACGCCCGCGAGCGCAATGTAGCTATACTCACACGGCGGTCTTATCGTAGAAATCATTCACTGTTCGCCGTGGAACGTTATTTTTTCTTACGACCTTTAGCACGATCTCGGCACATGGTAAAACTATCCCCGGCTCGATTTCCTCGATGGCTATCGCCCGAACGGAGAAAAGTGTTGTAACAGCGACTTCCGGTATTTCCCTCCCTGGCTTCACGCTCCGCACAAACTTTTAAAGACGCGGCCTCTGCAATCTGCAAACGACGGTTTGCAAAATCTCCGCGTTATCTTGCTCAATGTGTGCGGCGCGCGCTGAAGCAACGTTACAGCTCGTAATCGCGAAACTGGTCCTCCCCGCGATACGAGAAACCTCCTCGCGAAGTTATTCCTTATTCCCATAACTTCGCGAAGAAGCTTCAACGCTGGAGGTCGGAGCTACGAAGAATCAAGTCGAAAGTTCTCTCGGAGTCCCAATTTAAATCTCTCCACAAGGGAGCGGATTTTCTTTTCTCCCGCCGCCCGGCCCGTCAAGTTTCTCGGCGCGCCGACGAATATAATTACCGCGCTCTTTTATAATAAGTGCCGTTCCTCGCCACTTATCGCGTCGGGGACGGAGGAACGTGCGCGCGCGCGCGGAGCGATCGAGGATCGAGTTCATCCGCGTCCCAGGCATGCGAGATTGCGAGGCAAGCGTGTCTCTAAGTCAGCGGGTCATCGGGCAGGTCGTTGACTTGCGATTTCACGCATTCACGTGACGTCCCACTGACCCATATCCGACGTCATCGTACCCCGCGGCTTCCCGAACGAATTTTTTTTTTCTTCCGCCGCTACCTCGCCGCGCCGCGCCGTCACAATGCGCGAGCGGCGAGGACATGTGCCGCGATCGATGCGCGAAGTGATGAGCTCGTTCGTCTCTCGCTTAAAGTACTTAACGCTTAAGTATATCGCACGCGTTCGTAGTAAAAGTCGCACAGAACGCATCCGGCGATCGTAAGAGCGTAAAGAAACATCGCGCGCGCGATGTATATACTCGATTTTCCGTCTGTCCGACAGAAGTTTCACCTGAATCGCTTATTGTTAGATACCGCGAGTACTAAAAAGTTGTCGGGTATACCGTCCGATTTTTATATTGCAATACTGGTTATACATTTGGCGTATGTACGCATTTATTAATTTATTCATCAAAGGTAACCCTTAAATGCACAGATTTGCATATATACAAAGCGACTTTTCGATGCTCTCGCTTATGAAGTTCAAATTGAAAACGCTTTCTGGTCCTTCTTTCTCTTCTGGATGAGAAGGTCCTTCTGGGTTCTCCCTCCCTTTTGGAGGGGGTTCAAATTAGTAAAGAATTTTCTGAATACATTTTTGGGATTCCTTAAGCATTTTTATTTTTAAAAATACTCCGAAAAATTGCGCACTTATAAGAGTTAAAAGCATCGGAGAGAAGAAACGCTCTTGGAAAGTGAAATTCTTGCCCGCAGACGAACTTGAAGATATAGTTCCGCTATTGCACGTGCACGAATAATATTATTTAGATGTCATTTGCAATGCGCTTCGATGTGATTACGTATAATTCAGTATAGCAATGCACTCGGCAGCCATTATCTAGCTACCCTTTCTTTTGCGTGTATCGCACTACCGACGACAGAAAAATAACGCAAATTCTTTTTCGTCGCATTTTTTCCAACAGTTTTCAAATCGCCTGTTACTTATTTCATCGACGTAAACTGTTTCTCGCTATATCTCGTCCGGTAAACTTTTATACTTAATTGTATAGCGAAAGAAATATTAAGTTAGATTAAGGCAAAAATTAATTTCAGATAAATTAAAATAAAAGAGGAAGTCTTTTTTATTTCTTTCTGTCACACGCGATTGTGTGTTGAAAGTCGTGTGCACACGTGGACACGCGGAGATCACTACGGAGTATCGAATGTCGGGTACTATTGCGTAATCGGAGCCCGCGTGCATTCCTCCGATCAATATTTCCGTTGGATCCGCTATGGAAATCGCGCTATGGAATATGAGAGCGCGCGACGAATACCGCGCGTACGATCGTAGGTGTGGCTGCGTCAGGCTATCAACTGTGTCGGCGTGCAGACGTATTTGGTTACGAATGAGGATACGCACAGACATATACCACCTACGTGTACGCGAACACAATTCAGCACGTGGTCGTACCTTGCGACACCGTCTCGCCGCGATTCCCATATTGACCCTACGAGTTCCCAATTCCGTTTCTACAGAACTATAAGATTACGGTTGACGATACTCGGATCACATTTTCGCGCAGGAAATTCGCAATTTACGGAAGTTAGATTATGTGGAACTTACGAGGGGAAGAATGAAATAGAAGAGGAGTGAAACCGTAATTTTACGGAGAGAAATTAGATAACGCAGAGGTGAATTACAGCAAAACGGGGAATTACTCATCGGGAAAACCGCCTCGCGCGGTCGTTACCTCGCCGCGGCCGCGCCGCGCCGCGCCGTTTGCGTTCCGCGCGGGTCTTATTCGGTTCTGCTTCCTTTCGCGTAATCATACAGCGGAGCGAACACGCGCGAACCGTTATCATCGATCGGCGGAAGAAATGCACACACGCAGCTCTTTTCCGCGCGCGACACCCCACGGAGGTGTGCGACTACTTTGCCTATCCTATATCCCGACAACACCGCGTGGAATGTGTTCTCCACTTCGCGCGAAGCACGCACCAGGGAAGCTATCGCCCGATCTCCCGTCTTGTGTAACTCTTTTCCCGATGTTAACTTTTTTTCCGAAACCATCGTCGGACGCGATTACCTTTGTCGAACACATTGCGGAGTCATGCAATACCGGATTGAACACAAGTGGAACACGCGAGGTCTCGATTAATTAAAAATCTTTCATTTTTCGAACGAAGAAGAATTATCTTCAGTCTCTAAAACCGGATAAAAAAGTAACTTTATATTCAGTTATTTTTTATATTTAATTTTTTAAATATTTTTATTTAAAAAATAATATATTTTATGTATGATACATATCTATTACATATGAATTGTAAAAATTGTGATTTTTATGCGACTGCAAAAGAGGCAAATTTTTCTTTATTATGCAATCCGAGTACGTTCCGGTTTCCATCGTAATTTGGAGCGAATTTTTTCGAGCTTCGAGATATGCACTTAAATTACTCAATTGACCGCCTTACGCAACTGCTCTGTCGTCAAAAACAGGATCGTAATTTTTCGCTTCATATAATCACGATAAAAGCATCATCGCGGACGCTTTACTAATGCGCGCACGATAGAATCGACAGCAACGTGATACATAGTTCAATAAAAAGCAACGCGATCGAATGCCGTGCATTCGAAGCTCCTCTATTTAACGGTGACGTTTCCAAGACCCTGACATTCCCGAGAGAAAAATCACATTAGAAACCCGAGGAGAATCGCATGTCGGTTATCATTACTTGACACCGTTAATCTTATATGACTCTTAATTAAAGAGTCAATTAGTTCGAGAAGGACA